CATCTTGTGAATTTGTCCTGATCCCTCTCACGCCTATCCCAAAGAATAGTCTGCTAGATTTGTGCGCCACGTTTTGCTTCCTCCAGCGTGTATTTGGTGGCCAACTGAGGCCAGGGAAAGTCAATGAAAGGTGTGACCATGCAAATGACGCTGTACTAAGTCGTACTTGCAGACTTGATGAGGCTTAGGTAGGAGTCGATCTCGTTGGGAGTGAAAGATTAACATGGTGGAGAGCTTTGAATCATTGCCGCGTGGGCCGACTTCTATCGTATTGCGAAATCTGACTGAACTTGGCTCTGGGAGTAGATTTCGCTCCCAGGTTCGTAGTAGACACCGCATACAGCTGTTCAGTATTGGCCTGCGCGATGTCTTAGTATGGCAGTGCTCGGCTGAGTTTTGGAAGTTGTGCTCAAGAGCGGTGAGAGGTGAGGCCGCGGCAAGGCCAGTTTGTGCGCGGGGCTCGATTGGTCCTCTACGCGAGACGTATAAAATGTCAGCGGCAGTTAGTCCAACAGCAGAGCGGAGGCGCATTCCTCAAGGAGTATGTGAGCCGGCTTGAGCCACACATCTCTCAGGGGTGCTTCCGTGCACTGGAAGAACTGCTTTAGCCAGGGCGACTAGAGCTGTCGAGACCAGGTCCACGAGGTCTGGCGATCGAGTTGAGATTCGGCGGCCGTAAGTATGACCACGCCACCAAACCTCCGCAGCGTGCAGGAGTACTGGTCTTTTTTTTTCATTAGAGAACGGGTCGTGCGGCAGCCACGGCTACAGTGCCGAAAAAGGAAGTAGCTACACCGCTGTCGTGACCGTTGGTCCGTAATGGCCGCAGCAAAGTCGATTTACCATCAGGTGGGAATCACATGATCATCATGCCACACCACGCTAGCCAGGACCCATATTAACTGCGTGAATCTTTGGTGACTTATTTGTTCCAACACCACAATAGATGGTTATGTAGAATAGCAACATCACTACCTCAATAAAATTCGTCGTGAACTCACCTTCGAGATAAACTAGTGGCCACTTCAAAAGATAGGAATCATTTTAGCAAGCTCCACAAATATTTTTCTGGATTTGAGCTGTGACGGCTAGTAGGTCGATAGGCCGGTAGATTATTAATTCATTTTATTGTCCTGACTGAGTCTTTGAATATGCAGGACGTGCAGGTTCTCTCTGTCTACAGGCCAAGGATATCTATACCAGTAGTATATTCCCTCCTATTCACCTCAAACAGTTCCTCTCGAACAGTACCACTCCTCACAAGTCCTCATTCGATCATACACTTAGAGGAGCCCTTTGCCCTTCATTATCTCCCCTCTCCAGCCAACGAACCGATGGCCATTTGCGGGTGCATGGCAGCCGTGGAAAATCGCAAAAACCACTTGGTGCGGGGCTCTTCTAATACTGACATCAAGACTGAATCCGAAGACATAGTGCCCCTTCTGAAGCGTTCGAAGAGGCCGGCCAGCTGGGCGCTGCAGACTTGTGGGTACCTCAGAGAATTCATCCTCTGCTTTTCTAGCCTCCTCCCAACTCTTTCCCAAAGGTCGTGCTGAAATGTCAGAAGAGTCTTGACAGAGCGTGACTGCTGCATGGTAGATTAGCCCAACTTCTTTTGTGCCTTCCAGGGCTCTTGGAAGTGCCATCAACTAATCGACAAAGAAAGTCCTGACTAATTAGCCGAAAAATCCGAAATCACGGCCTTGGCGCCCACAAACGTTCCAAAGTTGAAAACCGCTTGAAAACATCGGTCCCCGCTTGCTCTTCGGAAACCTGTTCACCCTCTCGCTCCACATCTCAGCCGCCCGCCCTCCCTCAAGTTGTTTGTCCCATTTAAGCATTATTCCCCCACAAGCCAGGACCCAGGCTTTGTATTTTTCGACTTGATTCCCTCCTTGCGGGTATACGTAGCGTCGTGAATATGTAGTGAGAGATGGCTAGAAGTTAATGGGGCAAGCTCCCGTTTGCAATTGGAGCAACTTTTTTATTGGTCGTTGAGGCGAGATGATACGTGGTAAGAGAGAGGATGAGGACTCAGATGAGAATGATAAGAGAGGCATTGTCGAGAAGTCGTCAAATGGAGATATGCTTGAGGTTGCTTTCGATTTCGATTCGGATGCGACTCTTCTTGGCTATCCCAGATATGCAGAGCATACTGAGTGAATAAACCGGCACGACTGGAAGGTGAAGAATTCGTCTTTGCCGGCAGGCCGGTAGATTGCCTGTAGCCTGTGCTATTCAGCACCGGCATATTCATTAGCCCAGCGCTGGGCTACACTCGTATTGAAAGTCTGGAACTGCCCGGGCAGGCCACTGTGTTGGTAACTAGCCCATACCCGGACAATGGGAGCCTGACTAGCGGACAGCTTCTAGTGTTCGCAATACTGGAATCATGTATGTAAATCTGGCGTGGGATGTAGCAGAAGTCTGGCTCGTCAGTTAATAAATGAACTTTTGACATGCAAAGGCCCAAGCTTTCTACATCGAAACTGTTACACGAGCGGTGTGTAGGGTTCACGCGGTTCACGTAAGTTGTTTTTAGTATACTTAATATATTTTTTAAATTGACAGGAATGCAATGTTTGTAGGTCCTCTCTATCTGCAGATCAGAAAGACCTATGACTGGCGTAGTATATCCCCTATTATGCCAATATTACAGACCCTGTTTTACAGTACCTCGGCTTAGGTAACTGTTTGAATGTAGGCTCAGATGAGCCTTTTGCCCTTCTTCGTCTCCTCTCGCCATTGAAGGAAACCAGGAGCGTCTATAGCAGTGTGGCAGCAGGGAAAACTTGCAAAACTACTGTGTTCGGGACTCTTTCTCTACAGCCCTCCTGGCTAATTTCAGAGTCAATCTCGGATCCACGGATTTTAGGGTGCGAGGTAGAAGTAGTATGAGGCATCATAGACATGTAATACATTTTCGTCTCTTTATTGAAATCCTAAATATTGCGCTTGCTCTATACCATTACTGATGTTTATAGCTAGTTTATTCGGCACGGAAATGACGTGCCCTTCCCTGTCAAGACGGACAATCAAACGCTCGCTCTGTGAGAGTGCTGTGTGTCCTGGTCGCGTGTTATTATGTTGGAAGTCATTATTATGTTATAGGCGCTATTATGTAATCTTAATTAGAGTTAGCGTCGTTAGGAGTTTTCGGTTGGACACGAATCAATCAACTTACATCAGACTCAACGAACTTACCAGGCATTCTGTGATATAGATTACAGGCGTGCTTTTAGTTCAGAGTCTACCGTGAGTACATTTAATAACAGTAAATAGAACGCACAGTGCATCAGAACGGGAGTCGCCGCTGTCAAGAGGCATGATCCTGGTTTTCTGGACTGCAAAGCCTATGCCCTACGTCTTGCTGAGCTAGGGAAAAAGCCTAGCGCTGCTAACCGAATAAAAAGTTATGCGCGAGGATGGTGTTTGGTAAATCATCTCATACAGGGGTGGAATACCTGGCACTTACTTGCACGAAACCGGCATTGTCAGCAATTATAACTCACAAACACATATCTTCACTGCCACAGATGGAGATTTCAGGCTTGGACGTATCACTTTCTTTCTCACCAACAGGGCAGTGTATCTATAGTCTGAAAGTCTAGAGGTTAATTTCACGGAATTATTCATCTTTGCAGGTGGAATATTTATAGTTTATTTGACTAGTTTGTCATGCAGTGATCGACACTGGTCGACCCACCATTTAGACCGCCAGCACTTTTGTGGGCCATGCGGATCGGCCCCTAGGCACGGCAAAGGTTGGGTAGAGGAAAGCTGCGTAGAACAGATTGTTTCTCTCTCGCTAGTCCTTGTCTCGGGGCAACTCAAAACTGCGATACAGCGCACGCCGTAATCATAGGTGGATACTCTGGTATCCGGAACAAATAATTATAAGTACACCACAGTGAGAAAGGATTAGTGGATAGTTTTCCACTGGCATGACTAATCTGTCAAGGCTAGACTCTGTGGAGTAGGGACCAAATTGAGGGCAAGGGAAGACGGAGAGGGATATTCCAGACGAATTGATGTATCCTTGGTTCAAGATGATCTTTCCATTGCTACTTTCTCGCCTTGGATATCCTGCCCAGCGTCTGATGCTCTTGTGAGCAAAAGTGGGAGAGGACGAGGCGTTATTAGGCTCTTTGCGGTGCCTAGTATTGGTGAAGATGCGAATGGATATTTGCTGAGATCGCAGCCGATGACAGCGACGTCGCATGGCGAAGGGGGGGAACCGACGCTAGGTCACATGCAAAGCCGTAAAAATAAAAGTCTGCGGAGAAACTTGTGGAAAGTTGAAGTGAGAATGTCGCCTGGTCCAGGATCAGACCTTTGAGCAAATAGCGTCGACTGTGAGCAATGTCATTCAACTGAATTCTCTACAATCGCGCTATAGCAGGGTGACGCCAAAAATATCCCCACTAATCTTTGCATGAATGCGCTTGTGAATATACTTATCTTTGGTTATTTATTACAGATGAAATAAGTGAGTTTGTATCAGCAAAGCTATGTTTCTATAGCCGGAACACAGGTAAATGAAAAACTGACAGGACAGCTCAAGTTGATGTGGGTTATGTCGTGACGTTATAAACAAACATATCCTGGAAGGATCCATGCGTACCACTCTTCAAAAGGACTGGAGGATTTCGAGAAACATTTTCAAAATGCTTACCTGTTGAAGTCATGAATTTGCACACTTTTTGGCGCTTGAGACGACCATCGCTGGTAGATTCAGTTGCAGTGCGTGCCGGGCGACGAGTAATTCTTCATATTTTTGTGAAAAAGAGGTGGTCTAATGCCCCGAAATCATGCAAAATTCACCAAATACCTTTAACCTCCAAACGCCAGTCTGACCCCTTAACATTTACCAGCTTTCATAAATCAATGTCCAACCCAAAAGAAATATACTCCGAGGACCTTGAACGCAAACTGTCAGATGATCTAACGGCTACATGAGCTATATCAGTTAGTCTGGTGAGAAGTATTTATGCTGTACTTCAGGGTAAGTTAATTTCTTCCTCGACAAGTACACTCTTCGACCTTGATTCCTGCTCATGAGCTGTTATCCATGTGGAAAATTCATGATTATTTCCTTCGAGACTTGCAGAACGCTCTGGGGTTAAAGACTGCCGAGTTGGTTCGTTGAATGGCTGGGAAAGTATTGGGGACCCTGGAGGTGACTCTTGATCTCCTTCAAGGCTGGAATCAACGTCAACGAGGGGTGCTGAAATGATTAGTAATTCATCATTTGCTTCGACTGAGTTGTTGAAAACTTCTTGTTTTCTTCGTTCCAGTATAGATGAAGGAGTCACGGCGTGGAGCGGCTGGTTCTCAGTTTTCGATTCTAATTTATCTTCTTGAGAAATTTGCAATAAGCTGGAAGGGGTCATGGGCCTGCGTTTTGAAACACTCGCCGGCACTGTGCTGATTTTTTTACCTGGTGGAGGCAAAGGGACGCCAGGTGGCGGCAATGGCTGACCGCGACCCATGACAAGTGGCCGAGGATTGAATTTGTCATGACTATGATCGTTCTTCTGCTCGCTATTACGCTGGAGCGCATTCAAACCCCACTTTTTCGCCGTGGAAGCAGCATTGGTCATAGTTGTTAGCGAGAGCCGTTTGAAATCGGCCGTCGAAGATCGACCAGATGAAGAATTCGAGATTTCTCGTCGACTTTCTGAGCTAGTGGTAGTTCTAGATGCTGTAGCTGATGGGTTGGAGGTATCACCATACAAGCTTTTAAAGCTGGAGTGAGCTTTTGATGAATTCGTGGATCGAGTACTGTTAGTTGTGCCAATATGAGACACCTCTGATTCGCTTTGTGTGTCCTTTTCCCAGCTATCATCATTTGAAGATATCGAGGAGCGACTACTCTGTACCATAGATTTTGCATTACTCAATGGCGACCCCATTGTGGTGGGGGTGGGAGAGCTCATCTGAGATAAAGCCGCTTTGGCATTACATTGTTCCGTATGGTTGGCACCCTTGAAGGCATCCACAGTGATGCTATCAGTGCCCACAACAGGGCCAGATAAGCTGGAGAAAGATCCTGAACGAAGGAGTTTGGGCGACCTCTCAGGGCCGGAAGACTGTAATTCACTATCGGCAGATAAGTAGCTTGATCTTTACCGGAAATTTGAAGACTAACCTGGATTTTTTTGAATGAGTTAGACTCGGAGAGATTATGGGAACTAGGGGGGTGCTAGTGTCAAGTTGTGAGATAGAAGATTGGGACTCCTCGAGTTCAATATCCGTAACAGCCTTGTCGTCTTCGGTCGTTTCGGAGAATATCACTGGTTCATCTTTTTTCAAAAAATTTTCGCCGACTTTATCGACATCTTCATCCCAAATACCACCTCGGCTCGTCTTGTTTTCAGTCCCAAAGAAAGGGGAGTCATCCCAATTAGGAAACACTAGACTTTCTGCCACAACTTCCTTTATTCGATTCTCGATTTGACGCAGTATAAGAGGATAAGTTATCTGTCTGGAGCTAACAATAGGCTCGATAGTCATATCGATCTTTGGCTGTGTTTGGAAACATACCCAAAACCGATTTGATGGAGGAGGTTTAATTCTAAGAAGCATATGTCCTTCAATTCTTTTAATGTTTACGGCCAAGAGAAGGTTGACCTCTCGGGCTCTAAAACGCGATCCTAAATCTATACGAGCAGTGGCTGCCACTTCAATACGAAAGTTTCCGGAATACCGCAAGTCGGCTTCAACCATGAGCTCACCTTGGACAGTCAGATTTTTGAGCTTGGGGTTAGTAATAATGGGGGCTGCTTGGCCCATGTCGATATTTTTCAGAACAATCTTGGAGAGAAAAGTGGGTGTCTTTACACGAGATATTTTCTTATTTATCTTAGCTCGGACGTAACTCTCTACTTCAGAAGTCTTGTACAAAGCGAGAAATACTCTTCCCATTATTGCGTTTATCCACCGCGTCTGGATGTGTTCCTCTGATGAATGTAGCCTCTGCACTAGCGAAATAATATCCCTAACTTCATATTGAAGTGGCTTGGGTTGCTTTCCTTGATTCCGGAGAAGGGCAAAGTAGAAATCTTCCTTTTGTGAACAATTTTCCGAGAATAAAAAGAAAGGTTTCGATGTTTGGCCATTTGTTACTATATCATCGAGATCTGTTCTTCGGGATAGGCAGATGGCATTTCTCTTAATGAATAGCTCTCCCTCGGGAATTTCTTCTTCGCCCGAATGTATAGTAACATCGTACTGCGCAATTGAAACGACGTGTCGAACTTCTAATTGCTCGTCATCATCAAACAGCATAAGATAGCCGTGACTATTAGATGCAGGTCAGCTTAGTCTTGCTCACTTATTTAGAACTGATGGTGAGGAGTCTCGGCATACCGCAGAACGAGGTAGAAAATATTGCCACCCTTCTTACTAGGTCTCCCGGTATTCCTGTCTGGTTGACCACTGGGAGGCTTCCTCTCAAAAATACTGCGATACATGCTTTGATATACACTTGGACTGGGTGCAGAGACTGTCGTCGAGCCGATGGGCGTAGATCTCTCCGGCGGACGTCCATTTACACCCCCAGGTATGTAGTCTCTTGATACTGTAAAGTACCCTGCGGCTTCTTCAGCTTCTGAGCCGTCGAGGAAGGTCAGCTTTTGATCTTGGTTCTTTACAACATTGTTAATGGTGTCGAGGTCATCGGAAATTTCTGAAATTGGGTCTGCGGGTCCGAGGTGTGCGGCGTCATCGTGAACAGGCAGGGTCAAGTAAGCATGGAGAAAGATCAAGAGAGCCAAAACGAGAGGAAAAGTTAAGCCTCCTACGGTATAAATCAAGATGAATTCGGCGAGGCTGCTCATCATAGAAGATACCTTAGGGCGTAACTAGTCGTTGTCAAAAGGCGATGGCGTCCACGGCAAGGAGACCGAAGGACTGGGTATCAAGCAGAGAAGAGTAGAGGGATTGATGAATGCGCAAGTCAAGGTTGGCGTTCTGGGATGCTGCAGCGACTTCGGGAAGCACTTAGACCAACGCCGCATAGTGACCACCCTAGGAATTACTCCATTAGAATTATGAACTAAGATAATACGGCACGCTAGTTATTTGTGAGTACCAATTCATCATTGGGCGCTTCAGAGCAAGATGATAATGGAAGATTCGCGTGCGATCGAATCTTTTCCCTGCTCAAGCCCTTTCATGGCGCCCAGCGCCATGACACTCACATTCATCCTTTTGGTTTTCAAGAAATTATCTTTAGCGGAAACTTGCAACGATGAAAGGATAATTCGATCTAATTTTTCTTATGGCAAACCAATCAGTCGCACTTAGATATGTTGGTAGATGGAATAGCTGGCTAGCTAGGTATCGTTGGTCGCGAACGGTGATGTGTAATCGATTTCTTCCAACATACGTTTTATTGAAGGACCAACGTCGATCAAGTGGTCTCATCCAAGCAAACGTCATTACCAACGGCTGCCCTCTCTTACAGTGTCTTTATTCCTCCTATACATCACTAACCCTCAGCAATTACGGAACATTTCATCTAGCCTGCTTAAAATCGACGTTTCCATGTTCTCCGCTAGCTGTTCGTCCCGACAAGACATTCCTTGTAGGCCGCACCAACCCTTTAGCTCTTGAATCATATTGGACAATGCCTGCTATATATCTCACAAGAACAACCACCAGGATTTGCGACATAAACTAGGCCACAATTACCCTTATCTTACGTCCTCCATTTACACTTAAACCACTCTTAATCGGGTTGCAGTACATATGTGGCAGGGCATGTAAAATTGACCGTCGAGGTGTGTTTGTGGGTGAGCAAGAGAATAGTGGAAGGCTGGATACTGATCATGGTGGATAGTGGGGACGGAGATGATGTAGCTTCTTAGATAAGTTGGCGGCGACAGGGTTCGATTACGGCATCCAGGGGATTATATGTATATTATTCATCTTTCCTGTTTTGGCGCCTTGAGGCCCATGCAGGTTTTATCGGAAGATATATACTTTCAGTAGAACGACTCAATTTGACATTTAGAACACTCACACTCAGATTTCATTTGCAGATACCACTCGAGGTTAACCCTTACGGCGTATAACCCCTTCCGTGCATACCCACCATAGGGAAAAGCGTGAAAACCCTGTGGCTATCCGAGTGTGCTTACATCATTCCATAAGTACAATACCACCGCGAAAGAGAGTGGTGTGTGGGTTTTACTGGATTCGAACCAGCATTCTCCTGTCTCGAATGGGGTAGGTGTTCAAGCTACCCAGTATCTACTTGGGAGAACGGCCCGGATGGTTTACCACTGCACCATCCAACCCTGTCACAATTAGATACTTGTCCAAGATTGGTTGCATTTCTACAGACGGGATTACTTTCAGTGTGAAGCTATAAAGCCTTTTTTTTGGTTTTTATTATACTACTTGAGTCTACGACTATCTAGCACATTGGGCTCCTCTCTGACCCAGGCCACACCTTGTGCAGTGCTCCTTGCCTCTTTTGTTACTTGTAAGATTATTGATATATTGCCCGTGATGAATAGCTATTCAGCTCAGTATTTACCCGTGGAATTCGGCCACCTTTTCGACGGAACCTTCTACCCAAAAAAAAATGGTAGCAATGGAAACTGCGTGCGCGGGAAAATGTCCTAAAAAACCTGCAGCCCCAGTCAGGCGAGGCCTAGACACCGGGACCACATGAGGTGCACATATTCATCTATATCTCCCTTCTTTGTAACAGTTGAGGTCGACTTGATCCAATCCGCCATCTCCGTATCGGGTGCTGGGTACGCTCCGAAAACTCATCGGATGGCTTCTCCTCCATGATCAAGGGTTGGTGATGAGTAGGGTTCCGACCCTACCATCTGATCTGATCGTGGTTAGCTTCATGATAATGGTGATAGGGTAATGTGTTGAGAGATGAAGACGATACAGACGGCGAAAGCGATTGGGAATCCTCGTCGAAGTGAGGACTTTTTTGATCAATCTCGGCTCTGCAGACTCTACAGTGAGAGCTGGAGGTTCGTAGGGGACACCACTGACAGGTGTTGAGAATAGTCCCCCTACCTGGACCTTGTAGATCAGGGCCAGAAGTCATTAGTCTCCTAAACATCCAGCCTTCTCCCTACTAGGACCAGGCGCAGCGCGTAACAGCTGCAATAGATCGAATGAAATTAGCGGAAACTAGGCAAAAATCCGATGAACTGACGAGACAATTGTTGACGGATTCGTGGGATTCAGCTTTGCCAACATAATACGCGAAAAGTGATGTCTCGATACAGCGCGGATATCACACCATGACCTCGCGGTATAACACGACAGGTTTCATCATACAGTAGCCTTACTACACTGGGAATGCCTAAGGGACAACTTATCAGCTCATCTTGTCTGGTACCGAAAATCACCGGCGACATGGTGACTGAAAATCGGAAAGCGGATGGCGCCGGTGTCCAGAATTTTGCTAGGATCAAGCGATTGGCGACTATTTAATGATTATTTACAGTAAACTAGTATCGCACAGTGGCATCTAATATAGATAAAAAATAACTAGGTTACCTCACGTTTTTGCAGAGCTATGGTCTAGGAGAACAGACTGAAGCTGAGGCACGTGGATTCTAAGGCAAATCACCGTATAGGGGGAGGTTTTATAAAGTGTGGTGTTGTGGGAAAGCTGTCTTTCAATCTTAGCTTTGCATAATAGTCGTGATTCATCATGTAGATGGATATCGACGTAGTTAAAGTCATTTAGGTGGATGAAGCTTATCCTTTAGCTCTTCAATAGCTAACCTGATCTAGACCAGCCCCAATTATCAAGAAGCTTGGGTCCCTGCCCAGTTGCAGGTCAAGGCGACTTGTGGGTGATAACAGCTCAATAGATAAATAGATAAATAGATAAATAGATAAATAGATAAATAGATAAATAGATAAATAGATAAATAGATAAATAGATAAATAGATAAATAGATAAATAGATAAATAGATAAATAGATAAATAGATAAATAGATAAATAGATAAATAGATAAATAGATAAATAGATAAATAGATAAATAGATAAATAGATAAATAGATAAATAGATAAATAGATAAATAGATAAATAGATAAATAGATAAATAGATAAATAGATAAATAGATAAATAGATAAATAGATAAATAGATAAATAGATAAATAGATAAATAGATAAATAGATAAATAGATAAATAGATAAATAGATAAATAGATAAATAGATAAATAGATAAATAGATAAATAGATAAATAGATAAATAGATAAATAGATAAATAGATAAATAGATAAATAGATAAATAGATAAATAGATAAATAGATAAATAGATAAATAGATATAGATAATAGATAAATAGATAAATAGATAAATAGATAAATAGATAAATAGATAAATAGATAAATAGATAAATAGATAAATAGATAAATAGATAAATAGATAAATAACTTGAATTTTCCTCTAGAGCCGAGCTCTCGCTATATAGAATCATCATTTTAGACATGATATCTACTACTAAAAATTTAGACAGGCGCTAGGGATAAACAACCTGCGGTTGTAAATAAAATTTACTAGCACCAACCATAAAACAGCCCATGTACCTGTGAACAATCCCTACTTTTGGACAGAGACACTTACCTATCGAATTTCTTCGGTGGCTATTCTTAGCCTCCAACACTAATTGTGTGTAAATCATAAGAGCGGCATAGGTCTTGTTTACCTGGCATGTTAATAAACAAACAGCTTTCCAACACGGAGAGCGAAGGCTGAATATCTGGCGATCAAATATTCACTCAGACGCGAGACTTACTCACGAAAATAGGTAGCTTTGAGAAATTTCGTCGGGATTGCGATGTGGAGGAAAAGTTCTGGCTAGTTTTTGATCAAAAACCCAACGGAATCTATCATCTGCACCCCTAGCATGAACAGTAGACCGGATCAAATCTGTCTAGTGTTTGTGTTGAAACAACCGACAACCGTCACCATATGAATTATTCCTGAAGTCTTTTCCCCCAGCTAAACTGATCTCTCGACCCACCCAAGCTCTCCAGAAGCTCAAAAGTCAAAGTCACTATCAAAGATGTAGAAGGACGTATAAATCGCTGAGACGGCTGCAAACTATGAGAGCACGGTCGAATCACTGACCTTGGATGAGTCTTTATCTCGCCCAAGGGGACCAACGGCTAGATCTGCGATGAATTATCACTGAAGACATAGGTGTAACATCATAATGATGGATCGACTTTAGAATTCGACAAATGCCGAAGTATTGATATCCTGATCTTGAGCTCATCTAAGCATATTGAGTCTTTATTGCTACGGCTACGGTAGTGATAGGATAAACCGGAGACACGAGCGGTCTTCAAAGTTCCCGAGATCACGAGACCGGCAGAAAGACCAAGGGAGAGCCATAATGGATAAATAATAGCCAGGAAAAATAGATTAAGCCGCGGTGGGCGACTAGATGAGATCTTCAATGAAGAAAACCATCCCTGGATGAGATGTGGGGGTGCTGTGACTCAATTGAAAGGACAAATTAGCGATCGGGAGGGTTTCAAGGGCTCAGAGGCATGGTGGCTGAGTCTAGGGAGAAACTTTTACAGGCTTCGCCTTACATCCAGGTACCCGTATCTATTAATATACGAACCGCCGATGGACATCTTTGGCATTATGAATGATCGCCGATCCTACGGATGCGAATCGCTGTGGGGTCAAGGTTGAATGTAAGCACGATCTTTGGCCTAGAGTAAATTTCACACATAACTAGAAAACAGTCTGAACTACGGGCAGCTTGCTTCGTTCCTTCAGTTTTGATGATAGGCCATAACCGGAATTTGCGCTTCGGCGCGTCAAAAAAGGGTTCTCTGGACGGTTGGACTCGACATGATCAACACACGGGTGAAGTCTAAGGTGGTCTGGTTATTCAGGTGCGACAAGGATTACATACTTGATGGTGATAAACCTGATCTAATCAGGCCTACTCGTGCTCAAGCTCCCATAGGAATGCGGAGGGAACCAATTGCCTGGCACATTCACAAACCTCAGTCTTTATCTGCCCACAATTGCTGCCTTTCTCCTTCACCGATCAAGGCAATCCCCCTCGTGTCTGTCGGGGAGTGTTGAAATCGATAAATTCAAAAGCAACCAAAGATTTCAGAGCTTTAAATAGCCCGTAGCGCTTCCTCAAATTCAGAAAATTAGTTGGTACATCATTTTTTTCTACTCTACTCCCCATCACTATCGGCGATCCGAAGACTCCAAGGAAGTACCGAGTTGGTGTGGTGCGGGCAACGATGAATACAAGGGAGGAGCAGGACTCAGGTGCAGCCCGACATAGCCGCTACCTCTCGCGAACAGCGGTCGTGATCCTTACGATTGAACAAAATTAAGGGACTCTATTCTAGTTCTCTAAGACAGTCATAAGACAGGAGTAATTCTGTAAGGTGATTGAAGAGGGTTTGAAAGAAATAATTTACAGGGGGTGACTCGACGGCTAAGTACCCACAACACTACCCTGTTACAGACTCCAGTCCGGTTAGGGGCGCTAAAATCTATTTAAGGCGGTAGTGAATTGCCTTCTATTGTTTCAAATCCCAAAATGAAATTACAGCTGAAGGCCATGGCCACCGATACAACCTAGGCGAGAACCAAGATAAAGAGAGAAAAAGATTTGCGACGGGAACTAAGGGGTACTCATGAAAACATGGGGGACTATTCTCAACACCTGTCAGTAGTGTCCCCTACAAACCTCCAGCTCTCACTGAAGAGTCTGCAGAACCGAGATTGAGTAGCACCTTATCAACTTTGAGCTGAGTTATCTCCCCCTCCGTCAAAGATACGCCTCCGATAACACATAAGACGACCAAAACGATAATAATGATGCTGGGAATGAGGAAGGATAATGCGGTACCAAACGCTACAACGGTAGTTAGAGAAGCCCTCGTTATATCACAACATGTGCTACTCACCGGCGGGCGACCAAAAAGCCCACGAAAGCAAAATAAAAGACCCTTCCGCCCTCAAGAAAATCAGATATCGACTCGTCATTAATATCATTTTTTCTAACCCATAATCCCGAATCTACTAGCCAAGAGGGCACCTAAAATACATGAGTTTCTCGACAACCCCACGTCCGTAACGACTTTTGGATGCTAGGCTAGGCTCCTTCACGACAGTCACTCTGAACCAAGACTTTTCTGACACACTTTCACGACCTTTGGCTTGTCCTGCGGCTTGTCCTGCGGCATGAATCAGGAGAGGAGTAAGAAGGAGGCCAGGAAAGTTGAGAGGCACTCTTAGGTATACACAGGTCTACTGCGCCTGGCTGGCTGGCCTCTTCGTCATAGGAGAGCACCGCACCCAGTGGTTTTTGAGACTTTTCCCTGCAGCTATACAGGCGCAAATGGCCATCGCTTCGTTGGCTGGAGAGGGGAGATAATGACGGGATAGCGGCTCCTCTTAGTATGTACTCAAATGAAGACCTGTTGGGGTATTACTGCTGGAAAGAGGTCGTGAGGGAGGCAAAAAGGGAGTACAATACCCGAGGCATAGATACTCCCGGCCTGTAGGTAGAAAAGACCTACATGTCCTTCCATAGTCATAGACTTTTTAGGACAATAAACACTCACTCATTCACTCACTCACTCATGAAAATCGAACCACTTTGTTTATTTTATGCCTAAAGTCTATCGCATAAGGCTATTACTCTCTACTCAGCCGCACATTTTCGGGAAGTCATACTTCATGTTGCTGACTTGTGGTGCCGATCTTCCACATCCTTCCAACTTTCCATGCACCATTTCTATAAACATTCTTATCATAGAGCTTAGCTATCTTCCCGATAAGATTACAGTAAAGCTGCTAGGAAGACATTGGTTCCTACCACTCAAAGCTGAGATTTCAATCTAATCCCTAGATCCTTGTAGATATTTGTTTCGCTCCATCTTTTGCTACTGGTATTCGGGGTCCCTTTAATTTAAGTTCTTAAGCCTTAGAACCGCTGTCGCATGGAATTATTGTCCTTGGTTTTCGATGCAGTTTTCACATCGCCATGACTACCTACCAAGTTCATCACTGCTCTCTGCAGCGGGCTAAAGTCGTATTCGCGGCGGAACATCTTGAACAATTAGAGACAGCTTCTAAAACAATAACGAGCCAAGATAACATAGAGCTTCGGAAATCCTCAGAGTTTAGAGTTTACCCATTTTCCCTTGAAACCCATAATTTTGTTTTCGTATAATTCAGTGAGATTTCCAATGTCTCGTGATTTCAAAATATTCGTTCACCTCCAAGTATTTTGCTGTTTCAGTGGCAGGAGTAGACTGAGTGATCTATTTTGATCAAATGCTTCTAAGAATACACTACTAGCTCGGATTGACTTTGCTCATGACATGATAGATTTCTCATCACCATTCTAAATCTCGCAAGGTGATTCTTTCATTAGCAAGCTTTCCGATCATGGGTTCAATTAGCCTTTGTTCGTTTTTCAATAGAGTACCTTGGCGTATTCGCGTGTAGAAGACTGGGCAATCTTTGCTGTCACATCGCACTTCTTCCAGAGGCGATATCTCTGAGCAGCTCTGGCAAATCTTTTGTATGTCTAAAAGTTTTCTCGTAGTTGCATTAAGCCTCTGCTGCAAAGCAAGGATAGATCTTGGTCGATCAGACATACAATTCGAGCAAATAGGTCCTTCCATTTCGAGTCTCTCGCGACACACCAAGCAAGATGATGATTTCATGTACGCTTCGAGTATTCTTCGGTTAGGTGGCGCATCCCTAAATTTTCCACCTTTGATATCGACGCGTCGTATTCGCTGTATCTTTGGCATCTCATCGTACCAACCTCTAACATTGGCGCCGACTAAGTTGAAGATTCTCTCCAAGGGAGGAATAATATTTTTAGTAATATAGTATTCCGAGTCTAATTCGTTCTCTTCGTTTCCCAGAAGTTCTTCAGGCGCCACACATCGGTCGATAAGTCGGGCCCCAGGCGCTCCAGCAATAACTACATAAGGCACCCTCTCGCCATGTTGGGGCTCGTCCCGAGCATCAGTCAGCATTCGTTTGGCGCTAATGAAAGCGCCTGGTGGCGGGATGCCCTTTTTGCTATATGTTCCCATTCTTACTTCCTTGGCAAAGCAAAAATCCTGAATTGAAACTGATCCATTCATCATTTTGGCGCACTGGTTCACAAAATAATTCTTGACCTGACTCAGATCTGATGTACGGAAAAGGATCTTAAGTGCCTTTTCCTGAATTTTCTGCTCAGCCGGGGTGCCATCTCGTCGGACCGTTTCAATTCCCTTGGCGTCAAATTCCGGCTCGATCTGGTTCCGGTCTTCGTACTTGAAGCCAACGTAACGTTTCTTGGCGATTAGAACACAAGGTAGATAAACTTTTTCAAATTTGAGCTTTATAGGCTTTGGGTTCATATCGGTGATACATTTGGTAATCTCTTCCCCAATATCAAATGCCTGATCCTTGGTACGCCCCTTTAGGCATATAAATAAACTGTCAGTGTCCCCGTAAACCACCTCGGCACCCCATCGTTTGACAGAATGGATTAGAGCTATTGCCTTCTCCAAGGTTTCACGCCCTGTCTGAACAATACTATCTGCAATCTCTGCGCAAGGCATTCGTCCCGAAAAAGACGCTGACGTATAGCCATATGTGACATTTGCGATAAGCTTGAGAGCTAATTGTCGGTTATTGAGTAGGCGCTGGAGTGCCTTGTCTTCCTTATCCATCTTCATACCGCTTTTGACCATGACTCGGGTCTCGAGAATTTCACCGAGCATCTTGGCTAGAAGTGATTTTCGAATCTCGGGCTTAACGTACATGATGCCGTTTGGTGAGATATTAATATGTTCTTGTAGCAGCTCAACCAACCTTTGCTGCCGAGTATAATCGGTAAAGCCCATTTTATTTCGGCCACGCCAATTGACGATGCGCCCTAAAAATGTTGAGTAACAATAGTTGTATGCAATAATCACACTCGGATACAAGCTTTGGAAGTCAAGGACGAGGACAGGATTGGTATAAAAGGCGCTTTGGGGCTCCATAACCAACGGAAGACACTCGAGGGCATTTTGGCCACCAACTTGTTTGCGACTAGGAGAAATCAGAATAAAATTTTCAGCTTTGGCAATGCGGAACATAAGGGATTCAACTTTGTACTGGGAGCCGCGAGAGATGATCGATGCGAAGTCAACTCCAAGCAATCGAGCCTGTTCACTAGTCCTTTCAATTAGCTCATTACGTTGGAGGATCTCCAAGTTAAGCCTCACTCGTGATAGATAGTAATTCATCACTCGAGCTAAATCTCGTGTCTTACCACTCGAAAACCATTTTGTTAAGTCTGACCATGTAAAGTGAGGAGTTCGACGATTTAAGAGATGGAAAGTGACATTTTCTAGTGTGTACTGGAGGAGATTTAGCTCATTCCTCATGGCACGCCAAATATTGATCATATGTCTTCCCGTTATGTGAATAGCAGAGGAAACTAAGAGGCCCCATTGATCTTTATCTTTTTTGAACACATGATAAGCTGTCGATTTAATTCGGCTCAATTCATCACAAAGATTATACTCATATTTTGTGTAGGCTCGCTGTATCAAATAGCCCCAAGAGCTTCCATGTAACTCGTAGCCAGTCAGGATATCTGGGTCAAACCTTCGCACGATTTCAACAATACGAATGATGAGGTCCAATTCTGATGATTCTTGGCACACTTCAGCCGTAACGCTTTTCTGTATTTTCTGTGCTAATAATCCATCATCTGAAACAGTAATAACTCCCAATTTTAGTTCGTTGGAAGACATGCCGTCTTCATGTTGAATATCTCCTAGCTGAAGACACCAGAAAAGACATTGAATCTCGTCTTTTTCTGGATCAGGTGATAGATTTTCTCTTGTGTTTACATGAATCTCAAGACTGAATAAACTCATATGCTGTGATTCCTGTATAACACTTGTTGCCTCTTGGTTATGAGAGTACTTAAAGCCATGCTTATTTCGTTGCGTGGGGCCTTCGATCTGAGAGTGGGGGTACCTCTCCTGTGCAGCAATATGTTTCTTGGCAGTGCTACTAGATTGTACTTTTAAACAGCTAGAATTTGCTTTCTCATTTTCGGCCCAGTCTAAAACATCTTGGTAAGAGGGTGGTGGGTTAATGATTTGCCAGCTACGAAGCCTACATTTTTGACGTCGTTTATGGTAGCTATATTCTACTTTTGACCAGTCAAAATCGTCAGCTCCACGTTGAATTATTTCCTTGGTGTTGCAAGTTGCGTCAAAGTCTGGGAGGAAAGAGATAGATAGACCTTCAAGCCTAAATTCCTTTCCCGCATAATCCCTTGCACGTTCAGGTATATCTGACTCATTACTGTAAAAGGGATCCTGATAAATGAAAGATGGAAGTTTGAAATCTGGCAGAGTCGAAATCAATTCAGAGCTGGATGGAGATAGTTTATGAAATGCAAGAAGATTTCGAGTTGAGCAGTGTGGAAATTTACGCCTCATACTGTTTAATACAAGAGAAATTGTCTTTGATTGAGATCCTGATCTAAGTGCAAACGAGCTCGAGCTAGGGTATCTGTTGGTGGAGGCTTGTGGAGATGGGATTGAGAGACGGGGAATGGGAAGTGATATATTTTCCTTGCCATCTAAACAGGATTGTAATTTATTTCTCTGAGATTGCCATAGATTGTGACTTGAATGATAAGGATCCTTCACAACGGGAAATGGAAGGATATTTTCCTGAATTTCGGCGACATTCCTCGAAACTTTTTTTCTCTGTCGAGTGGAAATAGTTCTATTTGATGGTTTTCTAGAGTTTAAAATACCCATTAGTGAAGGAGATGACGTAAGATCTGTCTTTATGAAAATAGACGGAGATTTGACGGAACCCCTTGGCGGCTCAGGGTTTAAATGATCCGATGAATCTCTTTCCGAAAAAACTTTGCAGTGTTCCATGCTAGGTAAAATACGGTGGCGCTTAATTACATGATCTGATGAAATTTTGGTCCCAGCTAGTCTCTTTGTACTTATCTTACTCTCTAACTTCACTTCAGCAGTTAAAGTTGATTGTTTCTCCTCGAAGCTATTTAAGTGACCAGTCTTAAATCTTACTACTTTGCTTCCGACTTCATCTGTGTGTGATAAGCTCCTGGACTTATTGGTCGAAATATTCAAAGTACCTACGCCGCCATTTATTAGATCTTTGTTGAAAATATCTAGTGTTGGTTTTGGTGAGTCGCCCATGTAACTCGCATTGCATGGACTAAGAAGTTTCAATGGATCTCCGTCCAATACTATTTCAGCCTCATCTTGAGAGGATAGTTCTTCAGCTAAAACTTCATTATCGAGGTCATATGAATGACCTTCATCCTTAAACTTAGCCAGGTTGTTAAATTTCTTCTCATCTTGTTTGGCTTCCGTAATATTTTCCAATCCGAACCCAGCTTTTCGAACAGGAGTAAGTCCCAAGGCTGGCCGTATGTTATGTGGATAAAGATCTTCGACAGCTTCTAATACTGACTTGACAGATGCTTCGTGGGGTTCTGGACTTACAAAGTTCTTAAAAGTCACTTCGACGCCATCACAATTATTTTTTTCCTGGAGGATAAGCACTTTAATCTTGCGCTTATATTCTTCCTCATGAATCCAACCACCTGGCTGTGAGTACCTTGCACCAGCCGACATTGATATCAGAACTTCAGGGGGGAAGGGACTGCTTGTTAAGCCTGGGTCAGACATTTGAGCTCTTCGTCTTCGTGTCTCGTCTTTCCACAACGCAGCCATGCTATTTACCAATCTTTCATTGGGCTTAAACGGATTTAGACGCTCAACAAAGTCGTGATGAAGGTTTCTTGGCTTGATTTCATGTCGGTTAAGTATATCTTGCACACAAATATCTACCTCGAGGGAGCAGTGGCTGATGCGAGGAAATGTTTCTCCCTTACTTATCAAGTCCGGCGGGATTGAGAGATCGTGCCAGAGGTGGGGAATATGATTCAAGTTCTCGAATTGAGGGACTGGGGCCCGAAATAAAACTTGACTGCAGTTTATGTAGCTACATCCATATAGATTATAATCTATCATCCATTGTAATAGGTATGGAATGTGTGCCTCGTATGGTTGAAAAATCCGCTTCATAATGGTGCCCTGGCGTAATATATCGGAGAGACGTGTCATAACCAATGGATCTAACATGTGTATCTTCAAAAAGTACTTGTATCCAACGTGAAAGCCATAGAATGGAATCCCTTTGACGAGTGTAATTCGTGCCACAAACCGAGAATTATAATTGTTACCATTGTGACGATAGCTAGCAGCCAGAGAATGATCGATCCCAAGATGAAGCTTTTGAATATATGTACCAACTAAGCTTGTTTAGCCTCACTTGCGTCTAGCAAGGCGTAAGAACCACCCACCATCATTGGGTTTCAGGCTCCCCCCATATTCCACGAACAGATAAGGAAATGCACCATGCACGTGGGCACATACTTTCTGTCCTGTCTCCGTGGCTCCGAATATCCTGATAATGGGGACTTTTGGCTCGTTGTGAAGCTGCGATGGCGAAACATTACATCTTAAACATGGGTCTAATTTCGATGGTTGCGCGCGATAAAAATCTATGTGGTCCAGCTTCACGCGGAAAGTGTCCATGTCATAATTACTGGTGATAAACTGGTGAAGATATGTCATTTAACATAGCTAATAGGATTAATTTTGCATGCATTCACGATGCAACCGTGTTCTACATTAATACTTTATCCGTATTTACGCGAAGCGACGCGCCGAAAGCTCTGGTCACGGGATCGGATCAATCTAATAGACATCACTTCTGGATGTCAGTTAGTCATACCCAATCAAACTTCTAACATTATGTCTGGAATACAACCCAGGAAACCTGAAATTCCGTCAGCTGCAAATAAGGAAGCTAATGAGTATATTCCTTCATTTATATCAAAGAAGCCCTTCTACATTGGCGAAGACGACGATCAGAATGATTACCTGGAGCACCAACGTCTTCAGAAAGCTCAGTCTGAACAATCCAAATGGTACGATCGCGGTAAAAAGCTGAAAGCTGCGACCAAATTTCGCAAAGGTGCTTGCGAAAATTGCGGCGCAATGACACACAAAACCAAGGAATGTTTGAGTCGACCACGAGCGAAAGGTGCCAAATGGACCGGCAAAGACATACAAGCAGATGAAGTAATTCAGGATATTAAAATGGGCTGGGATGCCAAAAGGGATAGGTGGAATGGATACGACTCGAAGGAGTACAAGACTGTCACAGATGAGTATACCCAGCTAGAAGAATTAAAGAAGAAAGTATATGCAAAGAAAGGAGATGAAGATGACGACAGCGAAGATGATGCAAAGTATGCGGAAGAGTCGGATATGGGAAGGCAGCAGAGCACAGCAACCCGACAGCTACGTATACGAGAAGATACTGCCAAGTACTTATTAAATTTAGACCTCGATTCAGCTAAATATGACCCTAAAACTAGATCTATGGTCGATAGTGGTGCAACTGTTGATAAAGCTGCTGCGTTGGTTGCTGAGGAAGGTTTCATGAGGGCTTCTGGAGATGCGGCAGAGTTTGAGAAAGCACAAAAGTATGCATGGGAATCACAAGAAAAGTCAGGGAACACCAAGCTGCATCTTCAGGCTAATCCAACATCTGGGGAGTACTTTAGGAGGAAAGAAAAAGAAGAAACCCTGGCCAAGAGGCAGGAGCGTGCAAAGATGCTACTCGACAAGTATGGCGGGCAAGAAGTCCCCGCTCTATCTAAACTACAGGCCTCAACTATCATTGAATCTGAAAAATATGTGGAATATGATTCGTCCGGTGCTATCAAAGGGTTGCCTAAAGATGCAGGCAAGTCAAGATACGCAGAAAATATACTGAACAACAATCACACGTCAGTCTGGGGGAGTTGGTGGTCAAACTTTGAGTGGGGGTATGCTTGTTGTCACTCGAAGATCAAGAATTCTTACTGCACGGGTGTATCTGGAATATTGGCTTATGAAGAGGAAAACAAATTGCTGATTTCAAACTTTTCGGGCGTTAAAAAATTGGAAGGGCAGACTTTGCGGCTCCAGGAGGATGATTCTACGACTGATAGGACCAGCGCGCGTGAGTTAGCATTAAAACGAGACATAGATCAAGTTGAGTCGATTCAACCACATGATTACGCGGAACAGTCTAAAAAAATTTGCGTTTCTGTTCGTAATTCATAAATATTTTGCTTCTACGATAGATATTGTGTTTTGAGATAAGTGATATAACTAACACAGATGCTGGATATAACCTGGGATTTTTACGATAGCCGAAGTATTGTTACTTGAGCCCACTAGTATCGACTTTTTTATCTGAATGTACGTTCAATATTTGGATAGGTTGTCACTCGTAGACAGATTTATTTAATAGGGTGTAGAGGTGCCCTTCGGCTATCTCTTTACTGCTTTTATTTAGGGAGTAAGTAAGTTAAGAGTCTGCCTTGGGAAACTCTGTGGACGGATATGTCAAAAATAGCTTGGAAATGTAAGTTTGTACATTTTTTTTAAATTCTGGCCTTTACATTTCTTTATTCTTCATCTTCCTCCTCTGCGTCACCGCCGTCCTTCTTTGATGCAGCAGCGGCCTTCTTCCTTCGGACACGACCAGGACGACCACCCCCGAATGGTGAACTTAGCGCAAAATCGATGTGTTTCTGGGAGTCAAGCCTGACAACAAAGGACGGAACATTGACAATTTGCTTGCCTACCCGGATGTGTCTTTGTCGGATAAGTACACGTGCGTGATGTATAGACTTTGCGAGACCAAGCTTGTATACACATGTCTGCAAACGTCGCTCCATAAAATCCTCGGTCTTCAATGCCAAGACGTAATCGAGCTTCATCCTAGATTCATCAAGCACACCTACGCGAACAAGTCGACGAATAAGCGCATTTCCCTCAAACAATCGCTTTGGATCTTTTTCATCGAGGGTCAGGAGCTGACTATACTTTTGTTAGATATTTCCATAAACTATAATGTCCCTTACCGAGCGGCACGACGAATTTTAGAGAGAGTAAGCTGTACACGCCACACCTCGCGCTTGTTTCGGAGCCCATACTCTCCCACAAGCTTTAGCTCGGCATCGCTACATTATAATCAGTGACTTGTACCGAGGCAAGCTCGTATACAGTGGCCAACTTACAGACGAGCTGACTCGAAAGCTGTCTGTAGTTAGTAATGTGTTATATGATTCTTTTGCCTTCATTTCATTGGGAAACTCACGTCTCCGAGGTACACGACTTGTTTTAGAGTAGCAACGAGGCGCCATTTTTCGTTGTTGTCGCAATTGTTGTCGAGTGTTCACTCAATTGTTCTGAAGTTTCTTGTAAATTAGTGTGGCATTTCTCGCTTAGCTATTCCTGGCTATTTTCACGTGAACTTTGTCAATTTGTGACAGGGATAATGGATTACAAGACACATCGACTGTAGTTTTGGATTGAAATTGTTCTGGTATTAGTACCTCGCCCAACTCTGTGAGGTTAACTTTTTAATGGTTTGATTTGACTTCATTATACTAATTTGGCGCCCTATGAGCCCATGCAGGTGTCTATCACACCTACTAATTTACATAGGAGGAAACCTTTTGGTGAAAACCCCCCAAACCTTCCTGCTTAATTTCTATGTTTTTTATAAAGTATCCTTTAGGGAGCGCAGTTACACTATAGTGCCCTTCATATAACCCAATCACATCAGCTTTAGCGACCTCAAGAATGGCATGACCAGTTCCTTTCCCTAAGCAGCATTTCCACCGCCTTTATCATCTGGAATTGTTCAATCCAACAATAATTTTGGATCCACTGTATTATCCTTTTGGTATCTCCAGAATTGTCTAGCATAGCTTTGTGGGACCAATCTTTGGCTTGTCTCCAGATCTCTCCTCTTCCATTTGACTATCGAGGGCAGGGCACAATCCTGTGCTTGGGGATCTGCGATTGGTAGCTACATGGACAGCTTGGACTGCAGATTCTGGGTACTTTTCTTCTATATAAATACGAATTGAGCCCAATGTGCTCACTCCGTATTTGCATCGCTAGACTGCTTTGGGCCCTTTTCTAAACTATATTACTGTTCTTTCTCAGTTTATTACAGTATTAGACATGCAGATCCTCTCTGAATACAGGCCAAGGATACCTATACCAGTAGTATATCCACTTCCATGCCTCCTATACAGCTCCCCTTAAAGATCATAACCACTCACAAGTCCTCATTCGATCATTAACTTTGAGGGGATCTTTGCCCTCAATTACATTCAGCTGAACTGTCTGCATCAAGGACTTCTTTGAGTGTAAGATAGCTGAAAAAACGTGTAAATCCCGTTGGTTGCGGGATTCCTCTGTTATCGACTTCGGGATTGAGGCTTAAGACAGACCTACGACTCCGCTACCCTCGAAAGGGTCAACTAGTCGATCGCTTGATACAGTGTGTAATCAGGGGAGCCACTATTCACTCCCTGATATCCTTCTCACCACTTCCATCATTCACACTTTGAGACAATCAGGATGCCGCGTTGAAATTGTAGAAAAGTCTCGACAGTACGTATGCTGGCAAATAATTTTCCTGAATTTCTCTTTTTCCTGTGGAACCACAAGGAAAGCTTTTAGAGCTGTTTTCAATTAAAGCTTTGCTGGCTAGCTGTAGCTTCAATCTTTACTACTCAAACTATATTAAAAGTTGGAGTTTATAGGGAAAGCGGCTGGCATACAAGAAGGAACCGATATCTAATAAGCCTCGCGTCGGTTAAAATGCGTGCAACATTCACATTTAGTCCGATATTAGCTTGGTCTTTGATAAATTCAGACGGTAGAATTCTGATACTAAATTAATGAGCCGATCGCGCATCAAAAAACCTGTATGGCTCAAAATATCTGTTTGCAACGATCCCTCAACTTTTGATATTTACAAAAAAACAAATTGTAATTATTCAGCTTGCAGCGTCAAAGTGGATTACAATATCGTATTCTATGATTGCTGCTCAGGGAACGAGACGGAACGTGTTCAAGGTTGGGGTTGATAGAAGGGACGTGATTGGTATACATCGACGGCGTTACAGTGTATCTGTACTTCCTGAAGGATAAATAGCAAACTCTGAGAATCAAATCAGAAAGCTTGGGGGTTTTTCAATGAGAAGTTTCCTCCTTTGTAAATATATAGATAGGTTTACAGCCACCTGCATGGGCCCATAGGTCGTTTAATCAGGACAATTAATGCCAATAAATGATAATATGGTATTCTTGCTTATATACTTTGCACGTGATAGGTTTTGTGCCCTATTCCGGAGGAGCAAAGTTTAGCGTAACTCCTTAAGCGAGTGTAAGAACCGTACCACTCTCACAATTTCGCACCTTGATTGGCGACGAACAAACATCACCTTCAATTCGCATTCATCAAGATGGGTCACCCAGCAGGTCTTCGCGCGGGCACGCGCTATGCTTTCAGCCGAAATTTCCGGGAGAAGGGAATGATCAAGTTGTCCACTTATTTGCGTCAATACAAGTGAGCGCCTAGACATGCTCAAAGTAAAATAATTAACAATCTCCTAGGGTCGGAGATATAGTTGATATCAAAGCAAATGGTGCAGTTCAAAAGGGGTTAGTATAGACATTTCATTGATAAAGAAAAGACAACATTTCAGGACTGCATAAGGATCCTGGCTTACTTCTTTTAGTATGCCTCACAAAGTCTACCATGGAAAGACTGGTGTAATCTACAACGTCACAAAAAATGCTGTCGGTGTTATTATCTACAAAAAAGTCAAGCACAGATATATTGAAAAGCGTGTCAACCTCAGAATTGAGCACGTTTCGCTATCACGATCACGAGAAGAGTTCGTAAGGCGTGTCAAGGCTAATGCCGAGTTGAAGAAGAAATCCAAGGCAGAAGGAACTCACGTGTTCCTAAAGAGACAACCGCTTCAACCCCGGGAAGCAAGAACCATTTCGATGAAGGACAATGTACCAGAAACAGTCGTACCGATTGCATATGAGACGACCATTTAGTAGGGTGAGTATTGTCGTGGGATTTGTGGGTTTCTTTCTTATCGAGATAGTCATCAGATCAGATTACAAGGGGCGCATGGCTATACAGAATGAACACTTTTTAACAAATGGATCAATATATCGAAAGCCGCCACCCGTACTTAGCGATTTCCTGAATACAATTCTGCAAATACAAAGTGACGTCTGGCTACACCCACCAAGAAAAAGCCATTCTTTGAGATCCTATAATGTTAAAGCTCATGTATCGTGGACACTGCTACAGAACTATTGTATTTTGAATTCATTTCATTTAGCCAGGTCATGTACCCCATAGGTCCATGTAGATATATCTAGCTACAATATTCACAAGGGAGAAAACTTATTCGGTAAAACCCCTCAAGACTAAATGTCTCATGCCTATTAGTTTTTCTGAGGTATCCTACAGGAAGTGCGTTTACACTGTTTTTCCTGTGTGAATTCCGTCTTATCCTTGTCCACATCATCTCATCATTTTTTCCAATGCAATCTTTACTTCTCCTGCAAGCCGGAACTGTTCAAGCCAGCCTTTTGCCAGGATCCGTTTTGTAATTCTCTCTATATCATCTGGGCTGCTCATCATTGCCGTAAAAAGCCTATCTTTTGCATTTCGAAGTACCTCTCCTCTTCCAATTGCCCACTGAAAACACGCCAAGACCATGTGCCTGAAATTTTGAGACGGATATCCACACCGACATTCTGAATCAATCACTCCGGGGACATTCCTTCAATACAGATAACAATTGAGACCAATATGCTCACTTCTTATCTGAACTACAATACTGCTTTGGGCCCTGCTAGAACCATCGTACTTAGTATTTGTTCTGCTATTGCTTAGAGGTTTTGAATTTGAACCATCCTAATTTTCTGATACATCAAATTGGTATAAGGCACACCAGATACGCTAAAGTTCCGAGATCACTTGTAATCATCCGGAACTTACGACTCCCACATCGGGTCACTTGGGGAGTCAAAAAGTGCAAGACATAGCGGCAAGCCATGTCCTTGATTGATTACATGCATGTAGGAAAACTAGTACCACTTGTTCCCGCATGACGTTATAGTTGTTTTTACAATATGGGAACAGACGTTTGACCAGCTCGGTCATCCCAGCCGTCTTACGCACAATCTCCACGTGCTAACTACCCATGGAGCGGCTTTTCTATCCGACATTTCAGAGCAGTTTTCCCCTCCCGGTATTAGTCTAAAGTCTTGTCACGCAGGTTGGTGAACGCTCTTTTTCCCCTTGGCAGACCGTATCAAAGCTGGATAGTTTCGTACGAGATCAACCTTGAAACTAGGTACTTAAGTCTGCCTGAGGCTAACACGGGTGCGAACAGGCTTGGAATCACGATATGTCCAGCCCTATGAGAAAAGAGCCGATCTGCGCCACATCCTAATGTGCCTTGCGGAAACTCTTGTTTCCTTCTCAGCCATGTACCATTATTACGAGGTGCAGCTTGCTGCTTAGCTAGGAATAACCTCAATTTCTAGTTCTACTCGAGTCATGAGAGACCCAATTTACTAGCCTTTCGAAAGCCAAGCTCGATCTACGTTATGCCATCACATCTGATAACAATAGTTATTAAGATGCTAGCAAACGGGTGACTGGCTGGGAAATGTGAAGTTCCCATGATTCGCTATTACTGAAGCTGGCAAGCCTGTGCACCTTCAGTAGGTTTGGTGTAGCGGAGTACTTGGGTTCAAGAGATGATCAATGTCAATATGATGCGACACTCAATTACCAAAATCTGACACTCAAGAATTGCAAAGTGCAAGGAACAGAATACTAGGAATCTGTGTGTGACGGGCTGGGCTGGTTATCGAGAAGCAATAACAATGTAAACACGGACGGGTTAAAGTCCGAAAATATGTTCTACGCGAAACGATGGTGGTTGAGGGGCGCTTGGATGTTGTGACAAACTCATCAGAACGGGCGCAAAATGCTGAGTGATGGCTATGCGTTTGGCGTACATCAGTGTGCCGCAAAGTTGCGTAATGATGCAGGTGAAACAGCTACGCCGAATATGTTAGTTGCTCATGAACTACGCGATCGAGACGAACGTTCATTCATACAGGTCTCTGCCGGCCAGGCATTTTCCCAGTAAATTTTAGACTTTCCAATCCAACACGAGACCGTTGGGTATGTGCGCGGAGCCTCGTGGCTGCCACAGTTGCTTAAAGTCTTTCCGAGCTTGGAAAATGCTTGATTAGGGCTGAGGTGTTGGTTGAAAAATGTCTTATCGACCCGCCCTGTGGTATCATGAATGCACAAATCATCTCCGGGTTGACCATTACAGTTCAGCCTGCACAAGACCAATGACGCACATTAGCGCTTTTCACAGCCGCACAGTTGATAGATGCCCCGAAAAAAAGGCCCGGCATAGCTCCATCCATTGCTCAAGAATTTTGATCCTGATAGCATATCGAGTAGTGATGGCAGCAATGTTGGGAAGAATTATTAGACGTTCTAGGACGCATATCTATAGCGACCAATAGGAAGACCCTTTATGCCCTTCTTCCCTTGCTTCGACGTAGCCATGGGGAATTCTCTATGAGTTAATCACCACGAGTCGTATTATCCCTTCGTTCCGTCCATTGATTACATAATAAATAGTTAGTCATTGCCATTACGGCTCAACTTTTGCGCCACATGGCTGCTAAGGCGTATGCACCCGCAAGAATGGGAGGTCTGCCTTTTAGGACTACGCAATACAACATCCACTTTACCCTATCCTTCTCCACTCCCTCCACTATTCAATTCTCTTCGCGCCTTTCCTTTCTATTTAAGGACTTCCACGTCCTTTGCCGCTCCTGCCTTCGCTAATAACCTACTCACTCGCTCGCTTTCTTTCTCACAGCATGGCTATTACGTTACTCGGCTCTTGACTTTCTAAATTATCCGTGCGATCTGATCCCACAAATTCAGCAGCAGTATCATGTCCGAGTGAGTCAAGCATCATGTATTACCTCCAGCTGTGTGGTCTTGCTCATTTTACTTTGTTGCCAGCCCTACCTTGTCCGAATGGGCACATCATAGCCAGACCAATTCGAAGTGGCCATTGACCCATCTCCGATCTCAGTCCTTGAATGCGAGCTCTACAGTAAAATCCTCATCGAGACCACGAAAACCCATCTTCAAATCAACCTCGTTGTCTTCACTCCCCACGATGATAGGGCTAACTACTACACCAAAGAGACATCTACCTAGTCTAATCTCATCGTCTCGCAACGAGGATGGAACCTTGAGTACTCTTCCTGATCCGCGTAGCAAAACAACACCACTCGCCGATGAGTGCTTCATACCGAATGTTCATCATCCCGATTTAAACGATGAAGTTGCAACCCTCAGTAACAAATTAATCCATGCCATCAACCACCAAACAAATTTGGACGACACCCTCTCCGCAACACGCCATGAGTTGGAGTTAGCGCGCGACAAAATTAAGCAATTAGAACGGGAGAATCGAATGCATAATGATCTCGTGTCTCGTGGATTTCTTGTCCGAAAATCAGCTATGGATTCCACCCAAGCAAAATTAGCCGCTAATGTATCAGAGGAGCGAAAAAAACGGGCAGAGATTGAGAGGGAGAAGAAAAACATGGAGGTTGAACTGGAAACCCTAACAACTGCCTTGTTTGAGGAGGCAAATAAGGTATAGTATTTACAAGTGCACACATGATCTATCTTTGACGCGGACAGATGGTAATTACAGCTCGAGCGGAGGCGCAGAAAGAACTCGAAATAGCGCAACGGAAAAACGAACAGCTGAAAACTCAACTTGCGGACACTGAAAGTCTCCTAGTATCTCATCAATATCAACTAGCAGGGTTGAAGCAGGTTATGGAACAAATGTCTGACGTTAATGACGACCACACTAACTCAACGTCGCCTTCATCGCCAGCTTTCACCAAATCCTATTGCAAGACATATTCCACCGAAGATATGGAGATGACCCCTGTTTCCTCAGTACAAGAATTAGTCACACCAACCTATCCAACAAGCTTCACACACCTCATACAAACAGTTCTCAGGACGGATCTTCCGGCTTATGATGAATTTACAAACTTAATAAAAACAACTAAGAAGTTAAATACAGGGAATAGGATTTCTAGTGGCTCCTATTCAGGTACTGAAAGCAGCATAAATCTCGGTAATCATTCTGGTCTTGTGTTAACAGCATCGGCGAATAGCCCCAGGCCATCTCCATCAATATACACTACTTCACCTGCTACACCAATAACACCTATGTCAAGCACTACAAGCAACTCAACCCAGAACACCGGGTCATCATCTTCATTAAAGGATTCAAAGTTCTATAAGCGTATTCTCACAGAAGATATTGAGCCAACACTCAGACTGGACTCTGCACCAGGCCTCTCGTGGTTAGCACGTAGGACTGTGCTTAACTCTGTTTGCGAGGGAACGCTAATTGTTGAACCTGTTCCGACACCGATAGACAGTCTCTCTCGAGTTTGCGCATTATGTGGGGAATCTCGTAAAGATCCTGAGTATACTCGGACCCATAGATTCAGAACTAATAGTAGTGAGAATGCACAAACCTACCTTTTGTGCAAGTACTGTCTTGGTCGAATAAGATCTACTTGCGATTTATTAGGTTTCTTGAGGATTTTAAAAGATGGCTACTGGAGGTGTGACGATGAAGAGTCTGAAAGAGCTGCCTGGGATGAAAGTATCAGGCTTCGAGAACAAATGTTCTGGTGCCGTGTTGGCGGTGGTGTTGTACCTGTTATGAACCATCAACAAGAGTTTATGAAGAGCTCTAGTATTACTAATTCTCTAATAAAAGACCATGAAAAAGACGATTACTCGGTAAACTTGGCCGTTTCTAGCGAAAATCTTTCTCCTGAAATGTCAGCATCATCATGCATACAAAGTTGCAAGAACTTCTTTTCTGAACCTGAAGATAATACGGAAGGGCAAGAAGCCGGCAGACAATCAGCCCAATTGGCTATTTCACTCAAACCAATATCTTTAGGATGGAAGAGGGAAAAGAGCTTACGACCCAATGTAGAGCACAATTCGAGACAATTTGAGGTTATCTGAACGCTTAGACGCTACTCCTCATCACTCAATCGTTTTGTAAAAAAGTATTCACGTGGAAAACGGAGTTATGGTGTGGGGAAACTAGGTACTCGACTGAAACAATGGTCATGGGCTAAACGTGGGTAAAATTTTAATGCAATTAATATTGCTAATACAGGTATAACGAATAATTCGCAAACAAGGGAATGTTTATTGGCTCAAGAGCAGGTTTTTGCAGTGATGAACTAATAATGAGGTTCTGTACAAAATTAATGGTATTTATATAATTATTAGTGCTAAATGAAGTGGCTGAACAATTACTTCAATTTTTACTCTAGATATTATATTTGCAGGAGAGTATCCCCATGAAAGAGATGCTATTTAGATAAGTGATACTATGGTGCCTGGGATGCAAAATCACTCATAGATGCTGTGAAGTTTGCATGAGAAGCTGGCTTCCTGGGATAACATGAATTAATACTATATTGGGAAAAGATTTGTAGCTTTGCAATCGCTTGTAAACAATTCCCTTGTGCATGACCTTCAATATCTATTGGCAAAAATTGAAAAGATCAGCAACCATTTTTCATATTAAAATTTAGAGCTTTTCATAGTCCTTCATATTCACAGACTCAGTAGGGATTTAAATTCTAATAAATTCTTTTCTAAACAATTCTGTGAGGGTTTATGCGAGGACGCAGCTACAATAATTACAATACTAAATTGCGCGTTATATTCGAAGTATCATTCTAGATTTGGCGAGGATGTATAGCTTGTGTATTCAGGAAGGATATACTTGATGGGAAGTCTAGCCTTACGACCGATTGGGTTTTTATTTACTATCATGTGACATGGAGCAGTAATGGCTTATTCTATTGGCAGTTCGAGAAAGGACGTATATGGCTTGAGGAAAAGCCGAGTATTATGAACAAAGCCAAGCCTGTGTGCTATAGGCACGACTGACACTGGAACAATCAAATGGCAGCGCATTATCTAACTAGGTAGGCGTCTGACGGCAGGTAGCGGCCCGATCTGGGTGATGTGTGTGGCAAAAGGTAATCCCCAGTTAGAAATTTGACTTGAACGCCGGATGATGCCAGTCAGTTGCTACGATTTGAGAGCCCTCGAGATTCACCAAGCACAATTAAGTCTTCAAAATTGACTTTCAGAGGCGAAGACTTCCGACGACAGAGTCTATGGGGCGAGTTGCGTGGTGTGGCAGCGAGGTCATGTAGAGACCTTTGATTCTCGCCAAGCTAGAGTCGTCTCTTTTCAGTCCAAACTAGTACGGGACCTCGGGTTCCTTCGGTATAAATGCTAAGGATTCATCTGGCGCGTGGTGGGGATCCAGTCTCTGCATTGCGACATGACAAGTAGTACAGTGTGCAGCATGAGAGATGGGATGTCGATTGTGCGCGAAGGGCATAGTTGCTCAGTTGGCAGCTCACTCTGGTGCGCTGCATGCTGGCTACGTGATCGGTCTTCGAGCGAACCAGCTAGGGCATAAGGGACGGGCTTCCCCAACCTGTATTACAGGTATCATCATAACTTCACGTTTACAAACAACGAATATATCTCTACGTGCACTATCTCAGCGATTCTAGCGAAGTGTATATTGCCATAACTTGTACAAATTAGGAGAGCCTCCTATCGTCCTCAGAACTACATGTGTAGAAGTAGTTGTCAGCCAGGCGCTCTCGTGCTGAGTGCATCTTCAAGACTTATTCTGAAGCCCTAGCGCGTTCTGGCCGCAACTCGGTCTCCATGCCTTGCGGCAATCTGCCATTGTGTTCAGATGATGGAGACTCGTGACTCAGAGTGGCCTTTGCCGAATTATCTCGTATTACTCTGGGCATAGGGCAATTGAGTCATCTGCGCCATGCGTCTGGTCATGCTGGCTAGCTGAGGCGGATACGGTGACGGGAGGGATTAATTTGATGAATTGAATGCGCTTGGTTTTGAGGGCCTCTACTGCTATTACCATATCTCTTGCCTAGTGTCCCGTCTCTTTCCCATCGGTGCCATCTCGTTGTGGTTATCAATGGGCTCGTCGGGAGCTTCTCTTGGGCGAAAGAGGAAATAGCTCAACGTAGTGTAGAAGACACCGGCTGCGACTGAAGACTTGGGTGTGAGCTAGAGACCCTGGGCGAGCTCTGATGGGCGTTGACTCTTCCTCATAGCATTCCAGAAGGCCTGGTGATCCTCGGGCAGCTGATCTGATGGATGCAAAATATAGATTAGCACTGGGGGAATTTCTCATCTCGTCCGTCCACACCTCGACTTTAGCTTCGAGCCGAGCATATCCCCTCACTTCAAAATCCCAGCAGATGCATTTCCCGAAGATTACCGCTTGAGCTCCTTGGCTGCTCATTGTAGTGCTCAGCGCGCGATGGCCCGAACCATCAATTGGTCGAATGGAGGCAAACGAAGGTTTGTGGCCGTATCGACGAGATTGGGTATCTTTTGCGTTAAATCGTGAGAGGCGCAATGGTGTTGTAGGTTAGTGCTGAGCAGCATGTATTGTTGTGTCTTATATTGACAAAGGAATAGTACGACTTTTTCGTCGACTTTCTCACATACATTATGATTTTAGTGTAAAGGTCTAATCCAGCTTTACTCGCTCCATTTCTTAGGCGTGAGACCCGAATTTACTCCCTCTACACCTCGTTTACCCAACCAACGGCAAACTCGACAACTTTGACCAAAGCCACACGACCGCATCACTCATTCTCACCATGGAGCCTCTTGGATTGTGGTCAGACCACACTGAATTCTGACCAGCAAATTTCCAAGTCTAATGGGCCAGATGATGAGCTTACTCTGAATCTACTTGGCAGATCAACCAAAATGGCGTTCGCTTGTACTATCTGGGTCATCTACGGTGGAATCATCAATAAAATCATATCCTCGTCATTCGGAATGAGATTCAAAATTCAATGGATAAGATGAGCAATGATCAGTGTTCCTCATATACCTAAACTACTGAAGGTAAAGGCCAGACACCCGTCTGTGAGGCCATTTATGAAGCTTGGGGGCCAATTGCTCCTGCACAACGGAGAATAAGTCACGGAAATGGGTGAATTCGGGATCGTATAATGAATCATTCGAAATGTAGTAGTTGTGTTGGATATATTGGTGAAAGTCCGCCGACAGCAATCTCACCATAGCACTCAACTCACCACAATCTCCTTGCGAATCACGACTGTTCCCTAGTCTGTGCATCTTACACCCGCAATCATTTCAATTCTCCACGACGGACCATACTTGGAGATTCAGACCTGCTACATGTCCTCACAGCCAGCTCCACACTTAATTATAACTAGTCAGAGAGGAGACGTGATGGAATTGGAGCTTTAATACGCGGACACCAAATTCTGTTGGGGGAGCTGAGGTTCTGAGTGACGACCACAGCCCAGTGGTGCAATGAGAGAGTGCGAGGACAAGGCAACTCTCGGAGATGAAAACAAAATTAGCTGCGTATGCCGTGATAGTTTCCGCACTCGGACTCGTGATGGTCCGGGCAGCGGAGTTTGCTGCGCAAAGGTGCGAATAGAGAGAGTTTTAATACACGTCCGTCCCGCCGTGACGAATGACATGAGTGAAGTCCGACAATCTCCAGTCATCCAGCACGGACAATTTCGGAGCACTCATGGTAGTCAATTATCCCGCCCAGGCCTGTTCCTGTCAAGACCCTTGAAGGCCCGGAACCAGTCAATGGCCTAGCTTGCTGGAAGCTTGACTACCTGGGGTCAACGAGAAGGCCACGTCGCTGAGATCCAGGCAACTGAAAGTCTCGGGCTTTGCTTCTTCTAATTTAGATAATTAATTACGTATGAAGCTATCTCTATGCGATATGGGATTGTGCCGGTGTTTATAGCTCTCATACTTACAAAATTTGACCTCATTTCCGTATATGCCCCCCCATGCTGTCTGTAGTTCTCCAGATGACGGACCTTCCTTGAGGAGGCAGCCCTACACTGTTCGCTCAATATAGATGCTTTACTATCCTCTGCCCAAATACTCGGTTCATTCATACACTTTTTCGACTTCTGCACGACGAAGTTGTTCAAACTAGTTTTTACTCAGGACCCCCTTCGTAATTCTATTCTTACCTTCTAGGCGGCTGCCATTACACGCAATTGAGGATAGACAAGGACCCAAGGTTCAGAAGATTACGAAGCTAAACAATAGAGCTATGTCTATGAACTACATATATCCTATGGGAGACTCAGTGAGTAGGAATGGATATGTCGTCAGTGCTTTCGCAACACCCGCCTCTGTGGTATCTGGACCAACTCCGTATCCCTACACGACTCCCCTTGCCCCTTGACGCCTGCCCGTCAAGGCTTTCGAGGACATGCCGCTAGCCAGCTTGTTTCCTATTCAACGTCGTGCTAGCTCACAAGATATCCTTGAGATCTTATGTCGGCCAACTCAGTCTAGACAAACTGCCAGACGCGCCGGCACTCTTTCCCAAGCCGGACACATAGTACATAAGTCAAGGCCGCCCTGCCATGCGCCACGTGCTATCAAAACATGTCAAAAGTGCTCGCCATGTTCAACACCTTATCTGTCCATAACTCTGAGATTCATGATGATCAGCAAGACGAAGAATACCATGACTGTCGTTTAAGATAAGAGGCGAAAAGACATTGGTTAGAAGACGAGGCCAACATAGAAAGGGGTGATTAGCCCAGAGTAGGTATGGGCATTGTGAATGTAGTCGCAAGCATTGTCATATTATTGAGTCAAGTGCGCGATATATATACGTGCTCTATCCCTCTCCAGATTTACCAAACCCGCACTGCCATAAGCACCATCCATCTCTGCTATCCATGGCAATCCTGAGTATCAATATGAGCTACTATTATACGGGTCGATATCAACAAAGAAATATTAACACACCCTCTGACACTTTTATTTCTAAATACAGCACAGAACATGTTTATCGAGATGAAGAGGAAATGATGCGTCGCCTGCACCAACAGTCTAGTCTTTATACAGTTGCAGAATTTCATCTCTTCCCTCTGTCCACTCGGGCCACGCCGAGACCATGGGACTGAAGTTCTGAGGCGGTTATGCACGCTAGCATTTTGTATTTATCCTGCCGGAGACCTTTCCATGCAGATTTGAGTCGACAATATCCTGGGTCTGCCGACGCTTGGTGATGAGATGGCTGCTGCATTTACAACGTGTTCATGAGCTTTCTCACCCCCAAAATGTTGCCATCCCATGAGATTCTTTTAGTCTTCGCCCCTTCGTTAATTCACGTTTTGGTCCATTCGGGAATGTCTCGGCTTCGATTTTTGGCGTAGCTACTCTAGTCCCTGCTATCGTTCTGCTTTGCTATTTTATACGCGCATATTACGGTTGGCTTGATAGGCTGTCCTTCTGAAGGCCCAATTTGTTGCGCCCCTTTTTGACGACTATCCATATCGGGTGATCTGATATCGAGCTAATTGAGACCTGCATATGAGGCAACGTAAGTGTTCCCCTGGGTGGGTATTCACGGATGAAGGTTGACTTGGGGTGAAGAAAGAGCTACCATAACTTCGCAGTGGTACAGTCAGACCCCTGTTAAGACGACGTAATCGGGGCCGTGAAAAATATCGTCATACAGAGGATATCGTTGCTCTACAGAAATTCCCTATTTGGCGGAATTATTAGCACCAATCTAGCAAAAAAACCTGGTTAAGACGATATTCAGAGGTTGAAGAACGATAATCGTGTAATCGGTAAACGTATGGGAACGGAGTCCGTTCTGGAAAAAAATATCGTCTTAACGGCAATATCGTCTTAACAGGGGTTTGACTGTAGTTGCAAATGAAATCCGAGGCATGAGTGCTCCTCTTGTAAATTGAGTCATCTTTTCTGTACTTTTCTTTGATATTGTTTCATAGCTAGATAGCTGCATACGCAATTAAAACCCGATGCAAAAAAAATAGAGGCTACGTAAGGCTGATCAGGAAGTACACGCAGTCAATCGTGTTACACATTACAGTCCCTCTGGGATATAAAATGTTAAACTTGAAACTGGGATATTTAAGGGATTGGCCCTGTAGGCGCAATTGAGCTAGCTCGTAATAGGTTAGTATATCTCTCGTCATTACCCCGCTCGCCATGAAGTATGGTCCAATCGTCTTCTTCATACAATCGGTTAGAATAACACATTTTCAACAACGCATTTAACTGCCTAACCTACACAGCCCTTGAAATTTCACACCACTATCGATCCATCCTCTATTCTTGCAAACAATATCTCTCGAAAAGTCTGCTTCAGTAACTAAAGCTCGTTAGTATCTAACTCGCGATCAATGTATTGAAATAAGAACATTAAGAAGACTTGGCTTGACTTTACAACTTTTATCCGATGAACTTGGCTTCACAAGAAGGCAAGTTCAATTTGTGTGTGCTCGAGAGACTGAGAATCCTATACCTCGCAAAGGATGCTCACCTAAATTAAGCATGGAATAAGTTGACGAGCTTGAGGCTTTTGTCCGGGAATCTCCTGAAACTCGACTGAAGTGCTATTTGGAACTAGCGATGGGACCCTTCAGCCACTGGGGGGATGCAGTGAACGTTTAATTTCTAATGCATTCAAAAAAAGAGGTAACAGCAGACGCAAAGCTCGGAAAATGCCTCCGTTAAGTGAGTTTAATATGCACGAAAGATGTATAGCGGTGATAGAGGCAAATGGAGGGCACAAAGTATTAGGATGGAATAGACTAATTCAAAACATGTAGTACGCTTTCAATTTATTTGCGAACCATACTAAGGGCTTCGATGTAGACTTTTGTAATACAGAGCAACTATTTTTGAAATAGATGTGTTTTTTTGGATAATATCAATTGATTTTTTACTCTTTTTAATTTTTAATTTTTAAATGAGGACCATTGTACATTTCCTTTGGTGTTGAAAATCGTCCCCATTAATTTTGACTTTCACGGAATATCGTTGGATAGTACCCCTGCTTGCATAACTAGTCGAGCAACTAGACATGGGCCTGCATGATGACTAAACCAATCTAATCGATATGTGCAGGGATATGCCCCCAGTCATTTTGACGATTGTACCATTACACCCCATAAGAGGCTGTATATCTGATATTATCCCCCTGTAATCCGGGTACTCGCAAAAGACCAATGCAGTGCCATCCCTATTCGCTCCGCTTCTGACCTTGCCACAACTCTCGCTTGAGATATTCAGGCAAAATGGGCGGAAAAGAAAGTAGCTGGTATAGTGACTGTTGATGTCCAAGGGGCATTTGACGGTATCCAGAAAGGACGACTCCGCCATAGACTTCGAATCCAAGGATGGCCATCGAACGTGATTCGCTGGGTAGCATCTTTCATGGAAGAGCGAGAATAAAGTATCTCTATTGAAGATACTACCTCTCCGCCATTTCAAACTAACTGTGGTCTCCCACAAGGCTCACCTGTATCCCCAATTTTATTTCTTCTGGCTATGGAAAAGGCCCTACGTCTCTCTACTGGTAGCTTTGGATATACAGATGACATTGCCCTCTTTGCGTCTACGCCCTCCCTTGTTGAATATGCACGCAAGCTCCAGGAGAAATTAGACAGCACCATAGCATGGGAACTGACCAACGGAATTACTTTCAAACTTCCTAAGACTGAGTCCCAATACTTTCACCGGAAGCGAGGATCACCAATAGAGCCTGCTCTAAATATGGGAGGGACAATCATAACGCCCAATGATCATACACGCTGGCTAGGAATATTCTTTGACCGTGTACTTCAATTTCAACACCACACCCTACAGGCTTACCGAAAGTCTCAAGGTATCACGAGCCATTTGAAAAGACTCTCAACCACTACTCGAGGAACTAGCCCTCTTTTTCTACGACAAGCTCTGCATGGTGCCGCATTTGCGACCCTTTTCTATGGAGCCGAGACCTGGTACTCCAAAGAGACATCTCAAAAGACAATCTCGCGACTCCAACACAGGATGAACGACGCAGCTCGCGCAGCCCTCCCAGTCTATCGTACAACACCAATAGCAGCACTTCTACGAGAAGCTGGCTGGGGCCCAGCCCAGACATGGCTCTCCCGAATTCACAGTGGTCTAGCGGTTCGAATCACTGCAGCTGACCCGTACCACTCTCTTCGTAGGCGATGAAACACTTGTCGCATGCGCTAGATCCGTCAAGGAATCTCGCCAGAACTTTCCGGGGCCACTGAAGGTCTTGCCGCAGCTCTTCGCAACCCACTGGCCTACTATACCTCTAACATCACTGGCTGCTATCCGTCTGCTTTTGGATACGCTCACAGAGTCTAGCTCGGCGAAAGTATTAACCTTTCACAAGCTCGCAATGAACTGTAAAAGAAGATTACGCGGTCAAAATACAACGCCTGGGAGAGTGGCTATCCGATGGTGCCCAGGCCACGCAGGTATTCTCGGGAACGAAGCAGCCGACGCGCTTGCTAAGGCCGCCTGTGCGGCTCCAGCTCCACACTTAGAACTCTCCATTGCGAGGGCAAGGTGAGAATTCAAAGCCCAATACGAGGCTTCTGTTGCACTTTACTGGGCAGAAAATTCTCCATCTAGATATAAACAATTAGGAATTGGTCCTAATACTAAGATTACTGCCGAGCTCGCCTGTCTAGGGCGACGCACACTAGGATATCTATTAGCTGCACGGTCTGGACATGGCGATTTCGCAGACTACCACCGACGGTTTCAGCACGAAAACGCCATTCTAACCTACTCATGCGGAGAAGAAAAGTCCCCTAACCACTTTTTCTATTGCCACCTCGGGCAATACCAAGCTCAGCTCCACAGGGCACAGAACTCTTATCCCAGCGTATCTTGGGCACTTGCCTCGGCGGAGAGAGTTGATACATTCAATAACTGGCTGTGTGTCACAGATTTCTTCGAAAGGGCACAACGAACAGTCTGATTCTAACGAAATCACGATCTGATGTAAACAATCTTCTCCTTTTATTTTTTATTTTCTTTTGTAAAATCTTTTCTTGATTTAGTACCAACTACATAGCACGAGATTCGTTGGACGGACAACCTTCATGTACACTATAATCTTCGAGCGTAGGATGATAAGATCCTGACTATTGTTTGCTTTGTTGGGTCTGTGTGGGCGCCAACACGTCGGGTACTTCAATCTAAACTGGGCTAGCCGGTGCGTGATGAGCTCACGTGCTGTGCGCGGACACGACGTTAAATATTATAAATAAATAAAAATCCCTGCAATCATTCTCTAAATGTTTGATCACTGGACCATCGAGGGTACCGTTCAGAACCCTACAGCGAGAGATCTCTCTAGTATTGCAAGGAGCCTTCGTGTCAGTGATGACAATCTCCAAGAATTCAGCCGATATATTAGCCAATGGGCCAAACCTTGCCTTCTTGATAGTGTCATTGACATCGAAAAGTTTACGAATAATCTCCTACAAGCGCTTGGAGACGCGCTGAAGATCGCGGGGAAAGTCTCGGCCATTGAAAGCGGAATACCCGGGTCATGGTGGAGCGATGAATGTCGCACTAAATGGCAGGAGTACAAGGCAGCGAGAGACAACCTAGACCTCGCAAAAGAGGCCCGCAAGAGCTTTAGAGCCGTGGTGCGAAAAAAAGTGAGAGTACTAGAAGAGGCAAGTAGAGGTAATTACTACTGACGCACAGGTGTTCAAGCTCATGCGATGAGCTAAACCTCGACCAGCTGCTGAGCCTCCTCCTCTGCAGATTGACGAAAACTGGTGGCTATCTGACCCGCGAGAGCGAGCTAGTGCGCTTCGAGACATTCTCTTGGCAAGGTTTAGCGGCGAAACCGACATCTCAACCTGGGAGAATGGACAGGAGGAGCTTATTCCATGGGATACGGAAATATCACTTAATGATGTGACAAGCGCTACCGTCTCTGTCAATGATACGGCACCGGGAGCGGACAAGATAACGGTACGGTTACTGAAAGCCTGTTGGTACCATCTAGGACCTCTAGTCAAGGATCTCTACCAGGCCTGTCTGAATATTGGCCACTTTCCCACGGCTTTCAGGGTAGCTGAAGTTGTGCTTCTTCCCAAACTGGGACGAAATCTGTCAACTGCCAAGGGCTGGCGACCAATCTCACTGCTTGCGAGTTTAGGCAAAGGACTTGAGCGTCTAGTCGCTAAGAGAACGGCATGGCTGACGATAAGTCACCAAGTTGTTCACCCACAATTATTTAGCTCAATACCAGGACGATCTGCGGTCGACTTGCATCTTGTGTAATCCATGATGCTGAGGCGGCCATGAGAAGTGGAAAATGTGCGACTATGGTCACACTAGACATAAAAAGCGCTTTTGAGGCATTCCTTCACAACCGACTGCTCAAACGCCTTCGGGAACAAGGCTGGCCACGATCCCTGTGTCGGTTTATTCAGAACTTTCTTTGCGAACGAAAAGTCCAGGTGAAATACCGTGGTGGAATCACAGAAGAGAAGATGCCGGAATGTGGAGTGCCTCAGGGCTCGCCACTATCGCCACTTCTTTTCATGCTTTACAATGCTGTGATTTTTGAGGATCATGGTCTAACGAGCAGGCTTGGTTATGCTGATGATGTGGCCATTTTCAGATTTGGAAACACCGCGGCGGATGCTTTCTTCGCAGTCCAAGACGACATCGATAGCCTCATCCTTCTCGCTAGAGACCATAGAATCGAATTTGACCTCGCAAAGTCAGAACTTCTAGTGATCGGAGGAGGGCCAGAAAGAAAGTTAATACAGCCGCCTTTTCAATCATGGTGAAAGATTGTCGAATCGAACTGTCGCCCCGTATCCGGTGGCTAGGAGTCTAGCTCGATACCCAGCTAAACTTCAAGAAATATGTACAGGAATGTACTGAAAATTCCAACCTTCTAGTCCATCTCTTACGGTATATAAACGGAGTTCAACGCGATGCAGCACCCGGACCTCCGATTCGTGCGGTACATGCATGCGTTCTGAGCACAGCTCTATACGGGACAGAAGCGTGGTGGCCAGGTCTTACTCGAATAACCACACTGCGAGATAAAGAAGTCGGCACTGGATTAGGCTGGCATATATCTCTACTGGACAAAACGATAATGAAAGCTATCAGAGTAGCACTCCCAGCGTGGCGTACCACTACCAATAGCGCTCTTCATCGTGAAGCGGGAATACCCCCGGCATCGATAATTGTCGAATGACCTAATGACTTAATGACCTTTCATGTATTCTCTTAGAAATGATGACTAATTATGTTGATGAGTAGTGAGTTACCTGTTTAGGAATGGCGTTAGGAGAGAGGGACAACTGCTGTATATACGTGTTTCCTTTAGTTAGAGGAGAAGAAATAGAAGATATATGTTAACCACCAATTGTTATTACTGCTACAGAAAGCTTGTGATGTAAATACCACTCGAGTATTCCGAAAATAAGACGCTCAGGGCTTAGATTGGGAGAAAGAAATAGCTTATTTATACAAGCAGAACGGTATATGACATGCTTTCAAATGATCGTGCGTCAGGTTCCGATAGCCAAAGGCCCTAGAAAGCTATACTTTCCACGTGGCACCCCAGTATCAACTCCATACAGTTGAGAAAAAGAAGCTAGGTCTGGAAGTATAAAGCGATGGTTAGCTTCCCTTACAGCCAACACAGTCTGCGCTTTCTCTGATGGATCTTCGTCGGGTCCCGGAAAATCAGCCTGTGGTTATGTAATATATCAAGGAGGCAAGCTAGTTGTGAGTGGTTCCGGTCCACTTCCCGGAGCAGAGGTATTCGACGCGGAGGTTGTAGGCACCACGAAAGCGTCGGAGGCTGCACTAACAGTGGGAGAAGACCTACCGATCTGCATTCTTCTGGACAACCAAGCGGCCACCCAGGCGCTCTAAAGAGGAAGACCTAACTCCTCGCAGTCAGTGGTGGACAAGTTTTCGTCGCTGAGTCACAATAAGCGTGTGGAAATACGCTGGATACCCGGTCATGTGGGGATTCAAGACCATGAAGAGGCCGATAAGCTGGCCAATTCAGCTTTGGGAGCTCTCAACAACCGGTCATTAACCTCAGCTGCGCCCAGTGGAGAAGATCAAGATCCAACCTTTGCGGCATTAGGGAAGTGGGTTAAACTGCGCAGCCAAGAGCTCGTGGAAGAGTGGTGGCAGAAGTATCGACCGAAACGATACAAAGATCTGGACCTATTCATGCGTTGCAAAAGACCACCGGAACTAGCTTTACCAAGATGGGCGTACCATCGTCTTATTGCGGCAAGAACAGGCCACGGGGACTACACCGACTACCATCGTCGTTTCAACCCCGAACATGAAGATCTGAAATGCGTTTGCGGCCGAGAGAAAAGGCCCTGACAATTTTCAGAGTGCCGACCTGCTTTGCTACGTTGGAGAAGCTATGAGAAAATGGCCCCACCTGGGGCCAGGGAAATGATAGGGGAGAAGGGATGGCAGAAGTTCACTCAATTAACTACAAGCAGATGTTACAGTCTGCCGAAGAATGAACAGGGTGGAAGGTGACCACGCTGAGATTGTTTCTGACTCGAGAGGAGATGGGTGCGGAAGATAGGGATGCGGCGCAGGGCACCGTAACTCAGACATTTCCTGTTCCTTTTTTCATTTCTTTTGTCGCTTCTGGCTTCACTGCCGATCATGTAGGTAGCAATGAGTTTTCATAGCCCGTCTACCCGTGTCACGTCTAAATAGATGTTAGGTTCTTCCTGTCACGTAAAAGATTTCAAATTCAAATCGTTTAATCAAGTCTTCACGCCTCCTCGCACATCAAACGTAATATTGATCTATCTCATGCATTATTTAAACCAGCTATTTAATGTTCCTTGACTTCTATTAAGCTCTGCCTGCTGCTGGAGGCTTCTTTCCTTGCGCATGAGTATCGTGAGCTCTACAGAGTTGGCGTCTGGCTCATGCTCCTTGAAGCTGAGCAGGCGCTTGTGACTATTTAGTGCTTCATTAATCGTAGCAGGCGGCTCAGCTGCCTCCTTATCCTTATCCTCGTACCCTTCCTGATCCTCCTGCTTTGGCATAGTATGTGCAGCAATGACACTCATAAGCGTGACCTCCTCCTCCTCCTCCACCTCAATATTCGCGTGGTCGTGTCTGTATTCTCGGTCGCCATTAATGAGTAGATTTACATGAGGTATATCCAGACTTCTACCAGGCCTAATGAGTCGTATGGGGAAGTGCATGACATATCTAGAATAAAATTACGAAACTGTCCTTTCTGCCTTAAAATTTAAGCATGACTAAATATAATCGGGCTTCAGCCAATGATAGTGGTTACATCATGTGACAGTTATTCGATATAACCACAAAATGGCGACGGTGACATCTGTCAGGTAACTGGGGGCCTGACCTGTGACAGGCGAAGTGTATGTTACTAAAGTAAAAGATAATTCAGTGAAAACAATTTGATACCTATTTCTCCCGGAATTCTAGGACTGTAGATTAGATTAAATTAGATTAAAATTATAGTCCTAACTGAGTCTAGGACTATATACACTGATCATGATTGACCTCATCTCTTGATCGCTAAATATAGACATGCGCTAGGAATAGAGTAACATGCGGCTCTAAATACAGAATGCAAGCTTTGCCCGAAGCAAATAACCCACATACGCATAGACAGTCCCTATTTTTGGCCCGAGACATTTACCTGTCTTGCTACTTCGGTAGTTTTTCTTAGCTTTCGACAACATCAGTATATCGAATATTATTAGAACGAGTCCGCACTGTAATAACAACACCTTTTTTAATATTGGAGGATTCATAGAAAATGAGGCTTGATTATATGGCTAATTACCGAGCTGAATGACTATCCATTATAAGCACGACATCTGAGACCTGTCTCGGAATAGAGGAGAGGGAGGTATGTTTATTAAACTACTCCAGTTTTAGACTATCTAGCAAACTGGGCTCCTTTCTGACTCAGGCCACACCGTGTACAATGCTCCTATCCTCTGTTGTTACTTGAAAGATCATTGATTTATTGCCATTGATGAATAGCCATTCAGCCCAGTAATTACCCGTGGAATTTAGCTACCTTCTCCACGGAATCTTCTACCCAAAAAGATAAAAAGAGTAGTAATAAAAACTGCGTACGCGGGAAAAAGCCTCAAAAAACCTGTAGCCCCAGCCAGATGAGGCCTAGACACCAGGACCACATGAGGTGCGGATATTTATCTAGATCTCTCTTCTTTGTAACAGTCGAGGCCGACTTGATCCAATCCACCATCTCCGTATCGGGTGCTGGGTACGCTCCGGAAACTCATCGGATGGCTTCTCCTCCATGATCAAGGGTTGGTGATGAATAGGGCTCCGACCCCACCATCTGATCTGATCGTGGTTAGCTTCATGATAATGCTGATAGGGGATGTGCTGGGAGATGAAGACAATGTAGACCGCGAAAGCGAATGGGAATCGTCATGGAAGTGATGACGGTCCCAGTTAATCTCGGTTCTGCGGACTATACAGTGAGAGCCGGAGGTTCGAAGGAGACACCACTGACAGGTGTTGAGAATAGTCCCTCTCGCAACAGAAAAGGATATGAGTTCAATCCAGAGTATGGTCCGGATCAGGAAAGAGCCCAATGTGCTAGACAGTCATTAGCTCAACTAGCTCAACAAAAATCAAACCTAACCTTTTGCGCCTTGTCAATAGGGCGATGACATTCAATTTCGCTGGCTTCAGTAACCGCGCAACTTCAGAGCGTCGGGCTTTCATTCAAATACTTACCGACACCATATGTGCCCACTGTCATCTTTTCGGGAGTCGTCGTCCACATTGCTAGTCATGATCAAATCTTGGCTTTAAATACTAGAACTTTCCCAAGATCATCAGGTACAGCAATTATTAATGGCCAGCCTTCTCTCAACAAGAAAGGGATTCTTCCTTCAGTCTACCAGAGATGGACACAAATCCGAAGAGATCAACGGCATAGCTAAACAAGTTGCTTCTCAATCCTTCGTATATATCTAGGTTAGCGGGACGACTTGGCAGCGCTGGATGATCAGCACAACCAATCTATGCGAGAGATAGCGGTAATCCTTGAACGGGTCCTTTGCTTTAATTAGGTCTGGCTATCCCCCTAAGCTTTCTCTGGGATTTAAGATATTATAAAGTTGAATCCGGCATAGTCCTACGGCTGTATATCATAAAAGATATGAATAGGCCTTCAAGATTTTACAGAGTACTGGCAGGTCTTTTAGTCTACATATCTTGTGTAGTTTTCACCAGTGCAGATCCCACCGGTATAGATTACATTTGCGGCGAAAACGTCATTCTTCAACAAAACATACAAAATTCCTATACGAGTGCCTGTTACGCCCTCGTGAAACCAGAGGTAAGATCAAAATACCCAGCAGTATACGATGGATCAACTACCTTTCATGTTTTTGACGCTGTCCTGTTCGCCTGGCCTCTTTTAAAAAATAACAAAGTATATGCTAAAGGTAGAGACAATATTCCGATATAGCCTGTTTGGGGGCGCTAGTTACGATGATTAGTTTACTAAGAGTGTCTAGGGCTTCCTGGAGATCTTCGTTTAATCATAGACTCAAGCTGCAATTTCTTTGGAATCATCATCAGATCCAAAACTTCACCAGACCGACGTTGCTATCCACACATAGAACTACCGAGAGAAAATGATCTCTTTCACAGCCGTGACGTAAGAATGCTACCAGGATTCCGTGGCTACAAATGTGATAAAAGAATATATGATATTATACGACTAGAGTATGTCCTTCAAGAGACTCTCAAAAAATATAAGATTTGGGAATCTCAGAATAGTGTTAGCATTCCCAAAGGACTAACAGCTATTGATCAGCTGTTTGGAGAAAGTGTCTTGTTGCTTCCAAGCCAAGTTATCAATTCTCCAGCAGAGATTAACCGTAAATTCATTATCCTCCCAAAATACGTGTACGACTGCCTAATTGATAAATAGATTTGCCTCTCTATCTAAGCCTTATGGTGATAGATTCTCAGCATCAGTTATTAGGTATGGTAAACAGAGTCGGCACGCGATGGGAAAAGTGTGCTGTCCTCTGGGAGAGAGAGCCGGAACTACCCCGGGTCGTGGATCGGACAAGAAATTCAATTGGCGAGCGACTTTTCAGTGGTGCGGGCGGTTACAGATGCAAATCACTCCTATTTACCCGCGAGTCGGTTAATAGCCACATGCAGGTAGCCTGCACGTTAATAACGCCGCCAGATGGCATTCCCGCTAGCAATTGGAAAATTAATCTTACTTCATTGGGAATTAAACCCATTATAGGGAAACATGAACTTTGGAAAATGAATTTGAAACTGCCAGAATCAAATGAACCTGTTGATGGTAAGAATCTACCCTATTTCAGTATCATTCAAATTAACTTCATAGTGATAAATACAAAGATTTCGAACAAAGCCGTCATTGTTCTCGATCAGCAATGTAATTTCTACGGGGTTTATTGGCACGCTTTCAAAGTTCTTACATTATGCGTCGACCTATCACTTTTCCCTTCGCCTAAAAGACCGAGGTACAAAAGCTAAACACTAAGCTACATCACAGCTTCATGCAACTACGTAGGTCAGCTTCTTGCAATTCATGGAAATGAAATGAAAAAAAGAGAAAAGGTCCCGAGATAGTTTTTGGCAGAGGCTGTGTAGTCGAGAGGATGAGTGGTACTGTAATGTTTAGTGTTCCGCTGTTGTATTTGAAGAGGTTATATGTGGCTATGCTTGCCGGGCATTATCCGTCTTATACAAAAATGTGAGGAATCCGTAGGACGAAGACCAAACAACCTTTTTTGTGTCTAAAGACTAGGCATAAAACATTCCCTCGTGGCCTATAGTCAGTTATGACAATAGATGTCTTTGATAGTTTCCAACGGAATGGCAGTCGAAAGGAATGGTGCTTGTTCGTTTTTGGTATGGAGTTTGGCTAGAATAGATTTGGAAACTGTAAATACCGACGACTTTTAATATCTTCAGTTCAACTATGAACAAAACACAGGATTAGACTTCTGATATTGTTTGTTGATAGAGTCTACCCGTTTCCTTGTCTGACCCTATTCCGTAAGTTCTTGTTCAACGAAACCCATCTCAATGCTTATGTAAGAACCCCATAAATCCAAAATTACTCGTCGCTATTTTAAGATAGCACAGATATCTGAGGCCATCGCCATTGCTACTGTTTCAAATTAATAGTAGAAGCACTAGCCGCAAACTTACACTCACTAAACTAAGGGTACTACGAGCTCATCAACGACGGATCTACACTGACAAAACTGGAACGATATTCCACCAGCATATTCATCAGTGGATTGGGCAAAAGACCGAATAGGTCTAGAGCAATGACCAGCCTGAGAGGTTCTTGAGAAAGCCAGATTGATAAGTTTGGAGGGAGATGCCAAATTTAAAGATCACGGGGGATAAAACTTGGGAGGCTCTGGATGGGGAAAAACGAGACAGAGATACGTTAGGGTCCGGAGCCGTAGGCTGATGCATATATTCTATTACCTTTCAACACACGACGCGTACGCCTCCTTAGTGTGTACTCTAATGAAGACCTGTAGGGGTATTATATATATAATTCATTATCCTGATTTGGCGCCTTGAGGCCCATGCATGTTTTTATCGGAAGATATGTACTTTCAGTAGGATGACTCAATTTGACATTTGGAACACTCACACTCAGACTTCATTTGCAGATACCACTCGAGGTTAACCCTTACAGCGTATAACCTCTTCCGTGCATACCCACCACAGGGAAAGCGTGAAAAACATGTGGCGATTCGAGTGTGCTTTCATCATCCCACAAGTACGATATCACCGCGAGAGAGAGTGGTGTGTGGGTATTACTGGATTCGAACCAGCATTCTCCTGTCTCGAATGGGGTAAGTGTTCAAGCTACCCAGTATCTACTTGGGAGAACGACGCGAATGGTGTACCACTGCACTATCCAACCCTTGTAGGGGTATTAACTGCTGGAAAGAAGTCGTAGAGGTATAGGAGGGAGTACACTACCCGAGGCGTAGATACTCTCGGCCTGTAGGCAGATAGGACCCACATGTCTTTACGTAGTCATAGACTTCATTGGACAATGAATTTGTACATACACACGACGCGTTATTACAGCATCGCATCGGGGAACTGTTCTCAACACCCGTCAGTGGTGTCCCCTACGAACCTCCAGCTCTCCTTTTTTAAATCATTTAATGTGTATTCAGCTATCTAGCTATGACACATGACCGGTGCTACGTATACATATGAGATGACTCCTTTGACGTTAGAAACACTCATACTCTGGATTTCATTTGCAAATACCACTATGAGGTATGTTCGCTTACACAAACAGTCGACCCTCCTCCGTTAGTACCCACCAAAGGGAATTTCAAATCTTTGGTTATCCAAGCAAGCCTTCGTCATCCGTGCATTCCAGCATCGCGAGATATGTGGTTGTGTTTTGCCGGATTTGAACTGGCGATCTACTGTCTCGAGTGGGATATGTGTCCAAGCTATCCAGACTCTACTTGGCAGACCGGCCAAGACGATGTACCACCGCACCATCTAGCCATGGTGGTGTTTATAGTGTCGCCTGCACTCCCACTAGCCTTTATTGCCTAGCGAGGACATTTAGGTAATTTTTACTTCCAGCACTGAGAACATTATGCTTGGTTTACTATCTTTAGGAATAGTTACACAATTCTAATCAGATCTTACTCTCGTCCTTTGATACCGACTGTGACCTACCGTCACCTCTGAGTACTCTATCTAGAATGATCCCCGCGTTCCCACGAGGCGTCCTTCATCAGTACCTCGTGCGCTACGCCCTCTCCTACGCCTCGAGTCTTGCACCCAGTAAACCTGCGCCTGACATGCTTACTCAGAGAGTGCCTTATTCAATTACCCAAAACTATCTAACTGCTATATCAACGGAACCTCTAGCCGGCGCTCAGTGGCCATGGAGACAAGCAAGATTCGCAGGGAGGGGCTTCATATTCCCCAAGAGTAGAAACTCCATCAAGGACTCGGTAACGAGTTTCCTAAATCGAAGCGGTCAAGCTGGATAAGTTTTGCCGCACGGGCAGTTTCCATTGCTACGTTTTTTATTCTTTTTTTGGTAGAAAGTTCCATGGATAAAGTGGCTGAATTACACGGGTGTCTACTGAGCTCGATGGCTATTCATCACGGGTATTAAATCAATGATATTTCAAGAAGAACAAGAGACAAGGAGCGAGGGCAAGACTGAACGCCTGTACTTGGTGTCCTTTACGAACATGGAAATGGAATATTCTACCAGAGCCAAGCTCAGTCAAATTTTGCAGTATCAAAGAAGTAGACCCATCAGGCAACGATTTAAGACTCTCTAAAAAGTCAAACTCTCCCACCCAACGAGATCGATCTCCACCGAAACCTCATCAAGTTGAAAAGTGCAACCTAGTATATCCTCGTTTCAATGACCACGCATTTCATCAAATATTCGCTAGGCTAAGCTGGCCACCAAATACACGCCCTCGTCGATACTTACACCCGACGGTGGAAACAGAGCGTGGCACACAAATCTGGGAGAAAGTTCTTTGGGATGGACGTGAGAAGGAGTAGGACAAGTTCACAAGACGATGCAGAGGATGGGTCCATATCGACTGGTGTGAGATTTCGAATTTTGGCAATGAAATTTACATGCTGAAGAGTATTGTGCGCGCCAATACTTCGAATGTGAGAGTGCAGACGACATTATAAAAACGTGCCAATGGTGGAAGGTGTTGTGGTCCGCCCCCTGGTGGTGTTCTCCGGTATAGTTTGAGTAGCCTGGGCACCTACTCCACTTGGGAAGGAGACGCCTCAGTCTACATTTTGTGCGGAGAGAATTCAGTGGCTGATGGAGGCATGTCTGGATGACTCAGGGTTTTTGAGACGTTTCCTTGGGTGGGTGTTCACGGATGAGGGCTGACTTGGGGTGAAGAAAAAGCCACTATAACTTCGCAGTGCTACATGCAAATGACATCCGAGGCATGGGATCTCTTCTGTTAAATTGAGTCATCTATTCTGTACTTATCTTTGATACTATGTCATAGCTAGATAGCTGCATACGCAATTAAAATCTGATACAAAAAAAACTCCAATGGATCCTGCCCGCTAAACTAGAATTAAGTTCCCGGGGGCTACTAAGACATTGATAGGTTTGTAGAGCCAAGGCAGCTGGCCCCTCCAGATGTCTCGGAAGGGTAGCTATCTCGTTGAGTCTGGTTCTGATGACGGTGCCGTGGAAGCTCGATGGCTACTGAATCTTTCAAGTTTTCTTGGCTGCCTTCCACCCATTGATAGCCTTCGCTTTTCTGAACACAGAGAGGAGCTACTGAAGAGCTGGAAGCTCTGGTGAGTGTTTGATCCATTGAAAGCTTCGAGGGTTGTTGCCGTTGGATGGGAGCTGTAACGGAGGCAGGGAAGGCATTCAATATCCGACGCATGGGTCTCCTTAGCCGATGGAAAGAGAATACTCGGATACCGTAAGTAGTCTAAGACCGAGAAGAAACTGTGATTATGAACTCCGATTCCTAATAGAGTCTGGCATGAACTGTCCTGTCAGGTTCTGTCAGTACGTTTATGCCTTGCATATTATTGGCACGCTATCCTGCTGACTCACCCAACGGCGAGGCTGAAGATTAGAGCTGGCAGCCGATCCCTGACATTTAACCACCCCAACACTGACAATAAATCCAAGTAAATATGGCTCCATCAGCCGTAAATGGGGATGCCATCGTTGCTCTCGAGGGTATCAAGGCGCCCGAAGGCGTTGTCCTTCCACCCCGCGAGATCAAAGGTAAGACAATCCACACGCTTAAGGGCGAAACGCGACTAACAGCGCTGGACAGCGATACTCGAAAAAACTGCTGGTTATGTCTCCCGAAACGGAATTGTATTTGAAGGTATGGAGTCCTGGCTGGCAGTGTCCGGGCTAATGTGGTGTAGACAGGATTCGGGAAAAGGAGAAGCACAATCCCAAATTTTCCTTCCTCAGCACCAACGACGCATACAATGCCTACTACCTTTGGCGCCTCAGCGAGATCAAGGAGGGCCGCGGCACAGCTGTTGCCGCTGGCCGCGCGAGCGAGGTGACGGAAGAGGTCGAAAAGCCCAAGGGTCCGCCAGAGCCAGCAGAGTTCCTCTTCTCCGCGCGCATGCCCAACATCAGTGCTCAGGATCTTGAGGTAGTCAAGCTGACGGCTCTCTTCGTCGCGAAGAATGGCCGACAGTTCATGACAACTCTCTCACAGCGAGAGACGGGCAACTACCAATTCGACTTTTTGCGGCCTAATCATACGCTGCATAGCTTCTTTCAGCGGCTCATCGATCAGTACACGTGCTTACTCAAGGTCGGCGGCCCGGATAGCGAGGGCGGCCGGCTACAGCAACAGAGAATAAGTGACCTCGAGGCTAATGCGCGCGATAAGTTTCATTGTCTGGGTCGGGCCAAGCAGCGGGCAGAGTGGTTCAAATTTCAGGATGAGCAAAAGCAGAAAAAGGAAGAAGAGGCGGAGAAGGAAAAATTGATGTACGCCCAGATTGACTGGCACGACTTTGTCGTCGTTGAAACTGTCATATTCACTGAAGCAGACGACCAAGCAAATCTCCCGCCTCCGACTTCGCTCTCCGAACTTCAATTTGCCTCTCTCGACCAAAAGGCCATGATGTCCATAAATTCGCACAATATGCGGATCGAAGAAGCCATGCCCGACGATTCGGACTACTATAATCCCTACGGTCAAACACAGTACAACATGGTGCCGCCCTCTCCGCAACCCATGTACCAACCTGATACTCGAATGCACAACACGGATGAGGCTGATGAAGAGGAACAACGAATTAAAGAAAGGTCACAGGCTAGTCAACGAGCTCAACAAGCTCTGGCTGAAGCCAAGGGAGTGTCAGCTCCCATGAGGATAAAGGAAAATTACGTGCCTCGCGCTGCTGCCAGGGTCGCCAGTCAGCAAAATATCGTGGTCTGTCCCAATTGCAAGCAACAAATGCCGGCGAGCGAGCTTGATGAACACATTCGAAGTACGTCTCCCCCCTCCCTCCCTTCCCTCTCTATCGTACTCACACTCGTTAGTTGAACTGCTTGATTCTCGCTGGAAGGAGCAGAAAGCCAAGGCTGATAGCCGCTATTCCACTACCAACCTCTCGACCCAGGACGTCGCCAATAATCTCAAGCGTCTCGCTAGTCAGCGCAGTGATTTATTCGATGGTGTCGGCGGACAGCAAATCTCTGAAGAGGAACTGGCGCGGCGCAAGAAGGCGGCAACAGGGTATGATGGCACGCCGGTGGAGAAAGGCGATCGCCGAATCGACTTGATGCAAAACGTCAATGTTGAGGAACAGATTCGCGCGATCCATCAGAAATTTGGGGACAAGAAGGTCTAGGTAGAGCGGATCGGAAATGGGCGTGCTGGCGTTTGGGGGCTATGTAGCAGTAGTTTAGGCCGCGGCGTGGTCGCGGCGCGTAGATGTGAAGCACCGAGTCTCCCTACGTTTCGCGCCTCACCTCGCTCCTCAGCACGTCGGATAAGTAGTGTCGTACGTGTATTTCTGGCCGTTATGATCCGTTCCAGCCTTGTCTGCGAAGAAACTAGCCTTCATGGGGGCAGTGCCAGGGATAGGCAATCTTCAAGGATGCCCACCAACAGGTCCGTGACTCAAGTACATATGGGGTCTGTAGCGCCGCAGAAGGATAGTGGCCTGAGTCAAGGCCCACGACGACATGCCTTGGCACAACGACTCGCCGTGACAGACAACCTCTAATCCCCATCAGAGGCCTGGCCATATCGAGTCACGGAAACCTCACACGAAAGCGCTTGTCAGGCAGTCTGGAGCCAAACGCATCAGAGCAGGGAGGGATGACTGGGCAGGATAGGTGGCGAGACGAGGGGGCACGGGAGGGAGATATACTATGTAGGCGCCCGCCCTTCTTTAATCCCTCTCGCTGTGCGCCAACGAAACTTTCAATTCATCACATACTCCACTCTTTTGGGACCCGTCATCCTCTTAATCGGGCAGGCCTCTATTTCACCTCAATTCGCTGCGAATTGTTTAATTGACGAGTACAAACTATTCGACTTCTCGCTCTTTCGCGCGCTCGCATCTATCTTCTAACATAACCTGCACATTCTATCGCTATCCTCTCACTTCCTCGCATTTACGCTAGCCAAGTTACCGCAACACTAACATGGGCGCCAATCTCTCGTCTCAAGAAGTTGTCGATACATCGGCTGACGTCATCATCCTAGGAGATAGCCGCTCCGAGTTATATCTCCTCTTTTTCACAGCTGGCTCTGTCTACGCCATGGGTATGATACTCGGCACTGTACAACTAGTGGATCACTGGCGTGGTCCAGTTGGGGATCGTTCGGTCGGTCTGCCCGGCGTCTTAGCCGCCATACTGCTATCCGTGGGTTGGCCTCTCATTCTCTTCTACTTGTGGGTGCTAGTTACATAATTGCTGGATCATTTTATGTCATTTGCGACCAAGCCGGCCAGAGGGCTTTCCCATCGCCACATTTTATTTCCACCCTTTGTCGTCAATCACCTTCTCTCCTTGCTAGATTTAGGCTTTACCAACAGACTATCGACTTTAAAAAGGATAAAAGCTTTGTTGCTCATGATGTGGCGAGATATAGGACACAAGAGCTTGAATCATCCAATGATGGCCTCTCGAAGGATTCTCGAGCAGCGGCGCCAGATATCAGCACCGGAATTGATGGATATGATAAGGTGTTTTCTAGGAGTATGGCTGTAATGTTAGAGGTGCTCAAGACCAACATTAGCATAGGATGTCTCGGGTGTGGATTTAGACAGGGGCACTTCAGGGAAGATGCGGACACCACCACTTTTTTACCGATACCAAAGTTTTCTTCTGCCTCTTGGCACTTAATAGACCCATACTTGATTTGGTTACGCAGTGCATCCGGATGATTGAATACCACTGGGTTGTAGTTGTGAAGTCAGAGCCCCAGAAACTTATCGCGTGAATATTAGCCTGCTATTGCTCTCCTTGGAAGTATCATCGAGTGCCACTTGATTTAGTTTTCCTAATTCTCTCCTATAAGACCAGAATCAGAACCCGACGGCATCTATATTGCTAACTTATTGCTTCGTGATTCATGTAAATTCCTTTCACCTAACATGATCGTGACGTTATAGTCAGAATAACATGCCGATCTGATACCTAACACAATTTGTGGTTGCCTCAGGGAGAAACTTGGCGATTAGGGCAATTTTCTGGTCTGATACCTCCATTCTTTTACCAGAGTCTTCGTCGTGGCATAGATCGGGTGGTCTAACTGATTGATTGTGAATGTAAAAGTTAGCCGATTAATATTGTCTCGATCATATTGGCTACTAGATACCCTATGAAATAAAATCCTGTTTCCTCGAGCACCAGCCTAGCTTCAGATAAAGTAGGAAAGAGCAGACACAACCCTGCGTTGCTCCCATCGTTATTCATTGAGGAGGCGCACGCCGCTATCAACACGACGCACACAAAGTGCCTCGAGGAAGGCTCCGAGCTCACCCGGCACACCCTCTGCAACAGCGGTTTGTAGTTCAACAGCGTAATGGTAACGATATTCGGTACGGACAAGTTCAAAATGAGGACGATCCCAGTGGTAGCGAACGAGTCGACTGATGAGCAAATCTAAACGCATAACATTCGAATGGGAGAGAGATAATGCGTGGTGCAAAAGGAGGGCATCGCGAACAGGCGCATTTATCACGCCGTTGAGGATATGAGCGAGAAGCTCGCCCTGCCGATCAGTTAGTGGTGATGAGAGGGATGGTTATTTTGCCGTGGAAAACAAGAAGTCTTCATATAATCAAAAAACTACTAAAGAGAAAAATCAGGACCCACCACTATATTACCCGACTTTTTTAGTATTTCCTTCGCAAAATTGGATCTGTAAGTTTGGGTGTATGCGTCGAGAACTTCTCGCAGATGCCTCTCACTCCGAAGAACAACAATCTCTATTACCGCACTCTCTCCACCTCTTTCGCTTTTAAGGGCCTTTCTTAGATCTTTCACATCTGCAGCGACGAGTGTACTATCCACCCTTCCATCGGAATATTCTTTCATCCGCTTTTCTTCAAGAGCTAGCATGATAGCTTTTTTAAATTTATCCTCGTGCAGCTCGCTACGCATACACTTAATGAGACTATGTTCATACTTTTTATCACGGAAGCCTTTCTTGATAGCCCGTATCTCTTCGTTTGTGCGCCCCATCAAGCTCTCAATTAAAAGCTCCCTATGGCTTTTTTCATTCTGATACCAGCAGTTGGCCCAGAACGCCTCACTCTCCCAGCGACCAAGAGCACAGACATAGCACGCTTTCATCAGATCTGGCTGATCTTTTAATCGAAGTTTAATATGTTTTGCAATGTTTACGCCTTTTTTTTGGTGTGCGGTCTTGACTAGGGCTTTATATTGTGTGCGCAGTTCTAGAGTTTGAGAGTGAGTAAGGCCAGGTAAGATAGAAATTAAAGGTGCAGTATCAGGATAGCGCCTCTCGCCTTTGAGAGCTTTTGCCAGGAGGATAGCCTCTTCCTCCGGGTCGTGGAAGCGTGCCGTACGTCGAGGCTTCTTACTACTGCTACGACTATCCTGACTGCTTTGTTCGTCCGCTGAAGAGTAAGAGGTTGGCGGATCGATATTTGATTGTGAGTGATAGTGTGTTGCAGCTATAATAGGCGAGGGCATAGGAGAGATTGATTGGTAGGTTCCCTCATAAGGTTCTAGTATTGGACTTGCCACAAGATTTGATAGACTTCGCGAAGGACTATGCTCATTGTTTGGTATTCGGGAAACGGTGAGTGCCTGCATGCAATTAGATAGACCAGTTACTTCGGGGGGGTCGTGGATTTTGGGTGCCTCGATATAGAGATTGGCGACAGATGTAGATGGCGAGCGAATACGTCGAGAGGTGGCGTACCTTCGGTTTCCATACGTGTTCGGCTCATCCACTTGCCGAATCTCGAGTCGGGGAAGGTCCGCAATACTGCTTCTCTCTATAGGTGGATCTTTGGAAATAACTTGATAGTTTTCGACATAGTTTCCGTATGCAAGGTGATCTTCTTTAGCCGATCTAGATTCGGAAGATCCAAGACGTGGGGTGCGTTTTCCGGCCTTGCTCCTGCTGAAATGAATGCCACCGAACAAGCTGTGGCTCCCAAGGCCAATACTGAAATTTGCTCCTTTTGCCCTCTCCAAATTTTCGTCAAGGCGTCGAGATTCCGGCTCCCGAGCCTCGTAATAATGCAGCTTGTTGTTAGATGTTGGTTCGTGTACAGCAGAGCTGCTGTAATTCTCTTCAGCACCTCGGGCGCCTCGGGGCTCACATGGCTCCTTTTCCCAGCCACTCGTTAGGCGGGACATCTCTTGTTCAGCGAAGTGGGATGCATTAGAGCCTGAAAAGTTTTCGGTTGGGACAGTATTCAGAGCTAGCCGGGAGGGCTCGGATTCGGTCAAGAGAAGGCTGTGTACCCTGCTATCCCGTTCTTGATTATCCAGCAGTTCTCTTTTTCTTCTCGAGGCTGTTGGTTGACCTTCCCTGCTTGCTGGAACGCAGCTACCGTTTCTAGTTCTTCTCACTCTCGACGTTGGACTGTTCATGCGGCTCCTGCCGCTGTAATAATCATCGGTCCGGGAGAGCATGATGGTCGATCCGGGGAAGCTTCAGACTATGTTTGTCTTTGATATTATACTGTAGCTTGTGATGATTTATGACTACGGTTGTGGTAATGAACCGAAAAATCAGATGTGGAGGTTTAAAAGCGGGTGTGGTGACGCAGTTTGTGTGGAAGTGGATTCTCTTGGGCTACGGAGGTGGAGCGAAAAAATCAAAATAGCCGCCCATGCATGCCGGGGGTCCCGAGGATCCCGTGATGTTGTAGCCTCATTAATTTGGGGTAATTCCGCCACTTACTTACTCACCTGACCCGGCCCTATTCATTAACTTCATCCTATGTCTCCGTGTTAGCCTGACTAATCCTGATCAAAAATTATGATTACCGTTGGAATAAATTCCATGACTCACGATGACAAGCATTACAGTGCATTTCAAAGATGTCACTCTTCCGTCGACTGCGAGCAAAGTGGAAATAATGAAAAGTGTGAGGCGCTGACGGGTCCGTGCAGGCTAGGTGCATCTCTTGAGTCAAGACTGGTTAGTGATCAGCAGGTGATCAGCTCACTTCAGCCAGATCCCTTTAGCTATGATAACGAGCATGGGCAGGCCTGGGCCGTTATATGATCGAATGTAACCCAGCACATGCAGTGCTTATCACGGTCTCAATCATCATTTAGGTCCAGTAGACGGGGATGGAATAGTCTAGGCTGATTCCCAATATCGATTCTTGCGGTTCTCGTAGCCTAC